TTTTTTCCTCAACCTCTGAATGGCTAATACGTAACGGACCTCATTCACCTTGAAACAATGTTTTCCTATTTCCGACCACGTGGTATTTTCTTGAAAATGAGAATAAAGATTGTTGGCTTGAGTTGTTTATTCAAGCTAAAGGGGTCCAACCCTCTGTATCTAGCCCACGTGGAAAAAAGGGGGGCATAGCATAGTGAACAGTCTCACTGTCAGGTTAGGAAATACCTCAGTACCTCTTAAGTTAGGAAACGCTATAGCGTAATTTAAATAACTAAGGAAATATTCTTTCCTTCAGGAAATAAAGGCAAGAGCATTTCAAAGAGCCCACGTAATAAACGACGTCTGTGCAAATCAGGCCATCATCACCACTCAACCATTGACCTCCCACCACTAGTCTGTATGGAGGGTACTGGATGCAGCAGGTCTAATCTCATGGGAATGATTGAAAACCCCTTGAAATCCCTTAATACTGACAAAGAGAGTCTAGCAGAAGGTTATGCCGTCAGCACTCTTAATGGACCTGAATGGAAGACCTTTGATACTCTGGGCGTTCCCAGAAGCCCTCGAGAGTTTATGTACTATATGCGCACCTTGGAGCGTTCGCGTGCTAATAGCACCCCTGCTGCGACGAAAAAAGAGAATACCGCCGAGAAAGATGCCGGTGTTTATGATGTTAAGATCTTTTCATCGAGTTACAGAGAATCAAGCTCGCGGAATGGAAAAGATCAAGTGAAGTCTTCCGAGACCTCCCAGCAGGGAAGGAATACTTCCGGTGCATTACGTCATCCAGCGTACCGGGAATTAATGCAGGGGAATACATTCCACGTGGTATGCACCACGCCCTGTACTGACATGTCGGATAGTGATTCAGAACCGGAGTTCAGCAGTCCAAAGGCTCGTTTAAAGTTTACTACGATACTCGAGCAGCAGCCTGGAAGCACTGCGAGTGCACTGAACGTTATTAGTAGAACTGAACTGCATCCGACTTACCACGAGAGTAAACATGCTATAGCAAACCTTGAACTAGTGTAGCTTTGTAATGATTTCTTCAGTAACTACACGACGCGACATGGTGGTCACCCTGTGGTGGCGGCGACACTACTTCGACCATGATATAAACATGCTGAATGAAACTCTATCATGTCATTTTATATTCATTATTTCTGAGGAACGTTTTAAGAAATGTATATTATATCGAGCAGAGACTAGAACAATGATTATGATAGTTTCTATTTTGTCAGTTTAAACTTGTTTTAAAGTTTTACAACGAAAAAGTCGGCTCTTTTGGAGTCCGAGAAAGATGAACAAAAAGCATGAAATCTGACAGCAGTGCGAATTCGGGCATACGTTTTCATGGCAGTATTGAGTGAAGACTTTCTCGTCATATGAAGATATATGGTAGTAAGCATTATGGTTTATAGGTAAAGCTATACATGATGGTAAATGCGCGCACACGTTGTCATAGCAGTATCGAGTAAAGACTATCGGTATATGAAGATATATGGTAGTAAGCATTATGGTTTATAGGTAAAGCTATACATGATGGTAAATGCGCGCACACGTTGTTATAGCAGTATTGAGTGAAGACTTTCTCGGTATATGAAGATATATGGTAGTAAGCATTATTGAGTAAAGACTGTCGGTATATGAAGATATATGGTAGTAGGCATTATGGTTTATAGGTAAAGTTATACACGATGGTGATTGCGCGCACACGTTATCATAATGACTGACACCAGTAGCAATATAGAGATTACAAATAAAGTTATACACGATAGTAAATACGCATTAACGTTGTTACAGTACTGTAGAGCAAAAATGTGCTTTTGTTACAGTATGACATACACAAGTAAGCACTACTCTTAGTAGGTAAAAATAAATGTACATCACCATCTTTACAGCACTATGGAGAAAACGATGGAAGTCTTTTCATTGATGGTTTTCACCTTGGCCATGTTTGAGGAGTGTAACAAAAGAATTGTCAACAATGAATTCTTTTATATCTTCCATCATGGCCGCCGTGTCGTTTGTTATTCAATTCTCTTGGGAATGGTTGGAAACCATCGATACGGTAACATCGAGCTAGATGCGATGTTACGCATAAATAAAGGACAGTTTTTTCTAGGTTAAAGTTTTTTAGTTAACTAGTTTCATATTCAAACGAAATCAGGCTGCCATGACAACGTCAGATCACGTGATGGACAATAAATTATACAAGGATGGATGGATTTATTCGCAATAGACAAATTATGTTTATTAAAATGTTTACGTTTTGTGAGATATTGTTTGTTGTTTTATGTAAAATAATAGCTAGAGGGTTAAGATATATATATTTAAATACTTCAATATTGATTCTTTAGTCGTCATGACGATCCCGTCCCACTCAATCATATGACGTCATAAATTTTAACAAAAACTAGCGCATGCGTAGAAAATGTTTGCCAGGCCATGGTATGTATAAACAGATCACACTTTTCCCTGTTTATCATATGATGTCAACTAGTTTAACAAGAGAACGAGCTCAGGTGTGAAAAATGTTTACCACCCTTGTCTGTTATATGACATCACATATTTCAACAAGACCATGTATGAAAAATGCTTTGGTGATGGCATTCACGAAAACTTTGTATTGCTAATCTGAAGACGTGGATATTAAATATTCGTTTGTTAGTATTTTACAAATGAACCAAGGTGAATGTCTAGACGGGAGATTTTTGACTATGATCACTGAGAACAGACTGAACGCGGGGAAACACCGAGTCATCTACCCAAGGCCCAAATATTCGGCAAAATAATTAAGTTTTTGGCTCATAAAATCTTTGTGCTCAGTAAAAGTAAAGGACCTCAGTATGTCTGATCCCATGAGACTGAGGAAAACATAATATGATTTTATACCCAACATAAAAAATATAAATATAAGCTAATAAACTACGATAATATGCGGATACATGACAACATAATAATAAATGATTTGATGAAAAAAATATATATATAAATTCTTAAAATTTGAGCAGGCACGGCACGGCGCGGCGCGCACAGCAATGTATTAATTTTATTTCTTCCAACCAATCACAATGCTTAGTTACGGATAAAATTAAAATACGGTTACCACTGTATGTTAGTTATCAGAAAAGATAGGGGGGGAAAGTGCGCGCGCAAATGCTTTTGTATGTACAAATTTCTTATGTTTTCCCAGAGATATAAACTCTATTCTACTCTATCACCTTTTATACAAACTGCTCCCTTCGATCTCGTGAGGGTTCCGGCGTTTTTCTTTCCGAGACAGGAGTTCCAGGGGCTGATTCACACTTCAGAATCGTCCGAAACTGTTCCTCCGTCATTTGTACGCCAGGCATGACCCTCTGAGACGACCCAGGTTTCGGGGACCACGAGGATTGCTTCAAAGCCCGGGATATCTTCCGCGTACTGAGTCGGGGGCTCGAGGGTCTTTCGCTAACACTGTCAGTGTCAAGGAGATCGAGGTCTGTAGTGATACTAGCAATGGGAGCGTCTAGGCATGGTTTTATCATCTCATTATGATTGCTCAAATGCTCGATGATAGTGATTGGCTCAGGACGCTGGTTCGGGTCTGTTTTCCAGCAAGACCTTAGCAATTCAGTTCTAATAAAATATGAAGTCCAAATAAGACCACAAAGAATCGTAATTACTGCGTATGCACTGACATTACAGCAAGTCAACCAAAATAAATCAAGTCCGGCTCGGAAAAAAGATGCAGTTGTAAAGGCAGCTGACAAACGTGGCACAATTTTCGGCGCAGTTCGCTATTGAACTCTATAAAACAGGCAGGCAGGCAGGCAGGTTGGGGTGGAGGGATAGGTAGAAAGAATGACGTTATATCATATCTGTTTCAGGTCTAACAAAGGCAATACTTACAACTGAGTCGTGCAGCCTTTAGGCATTTCCATAATATTCTCTTCTTTAACATATAAAACAACATCGGAATTGGACAGTCCTTGGTACGGGAAACTACCCATGGTGCAAAGCTCCCACATGGTGACGCCCAGGCCCCAAACGTCTGACTTGGTAGTAAAAACCCCGTCTGAAAGGGATTCTGGCGCCATCCAGCGCACCGGAAGCATACCTGTTAGAGATATAAGTGTTAATGAATGGGTGTTTAAGACTGTTTAACACCATAGCACAGCCTTTGAGCGCATTACCTTTACGTCCAAATCTGTAGTAATCAGAATCAAACATGGCTCTTGTCATGCCAAAGTCACCTAATTTAACCACGTGACCAGATCCTACCATGCAGTTACGTAATGCAAGGTCCCTGAGAGAAATAGCATACCATATTAGTAATAAATATTGATGATATATGATAGTAGCAAGTAAACAAGTTTGAGCAACGTTGGTGTATACAACAAACATTGCTATCACCTCTTCGTAATAGACCTAATTCGTCTAAGTGCAGTGTTTTTCCATTTCAGACCATGTGTCATTCTGTTGAGAAGATTCTTTGATCGAGTTGTATCCATATTCGTATCTCCTCGTACGCACCGTTAACAAAGAAAATATCTTGGGGATGACACGTGGTCTGAAATGGGTGGGCATTGCACATTGGACTATTTTGACGATATAGCGGCCATCTTGTTATGGGGCACTAAAACAAAACAAAGCCGGATGACGGAAAATATGTGTTTGTCTTTCTTCTATAGGTAAAGCTGATCGATGTTCCGTCTTAACTCATATTCCGTTGTATTCTCTTGTGGTGAGCTGTTAATATAAATCTACGTTATTACTTTGTCATTATTGTAACAAAGCTTTATTTTGCCCCTGGGCGCCCCATAATGCCTTGCGATCCAAGATGGCCGCCGTATCGTTGAAGTAGTCTATTACATCAAGGTGTCTTGTATTTCCAGAGAAACCAAGAAAACATTGCACACCTGTGAACGTATTTCAATTCCGACAGATAAGCTAATCCAGTGACTATATCTAAAGCCATGCTGGTCAACTTGGATGGGGTTACATCATCAGCCTGTAGTAAGGAAAATAAGATTGATGGGCACACGTTCTTTAATTCCAGTGTATACATGTAGCCATCTCTAGGAGTCACATTGAATTTAGAGAGATTGCTTACCTCTTTGCAATTCTGGTTGACAAATTGTCTTCTTGCAAGTAAGAAGCTCTTCAGGTCACCTGTAAACATTAACAAGTTAAGAGAAACAAGAGACTATGTTGCCCCTATTCCCACCACCTAAATGATTAAAGAACATAGAAACTTTAACAGTTATCTTAAGTGCACGAACATAACAAAAAATACATTTATATGCATGTGGTTAACACATTTATTCGAAAATCTGGTGGAAGTGGCATGCAGCGCTTTTTTAATATTATTTCACCACTTGGACAAACAATAGATCGAGTTAGTTTTTGGTGTAATGAATTACCCATTTCAGACCAATTGTCGCAAGTGTCATCCCCTTAACAATAAAATTCTTTGTTTGAGTTGCATTAGATTTTGAGTTGTTAAATTTTCAATGGTACCTTGCAAAAGCATCTCACGACTAAAGGACATTTTACATGTGGTCTTTTCTTATATATGTAAAAAAGGGTTTATTCTTTTATCCCTGCAAGATATCTTACCATGTATCATTAACTCCATGATAGCCAGTGCTGGTTCTCCTTTAGTGCATACCCCTAGCAGTTTGACAATATTGTTGTGATCAAATATTTTCATTGTCTCTGCTTCGCTGAGAAACTCAAGCTACAAAAACACAGATAAGATCTGATCAGACAAAACACTGCAATGCACTGGTTAACATCATTTTACTTGAGCTCTTCTAGTCGCTCCTTCCTTCAATCCTTTACAAACAAGAAATGGGGGGGGGGGGGGGGGGAGAGTCATACTACTATTTTCTTCCTGCTACACATACTGGAATATGCATGACATTGATGAGCTCTCCTCGGTACTATATTTTGACAAAAGTTAAAGGCTTAGGATATAAAGGTCCAAGGTTCGATCCTCAGGATCTCAAAGTCTGTTTTGATTTCTTTCTAATCCGTGTAGCTTCAGCTTTGTATTCTCTTAAAACAGAGCACTGATGGAGATAGGGGGGTAAAGTGCGCACCGTCAACTGCCTGGAAGATAAGCTAACTAGGTAAAGAAATACGGACCATAAATAAGGCCTTTACCTTTATGAGTAAATGTGTAGCTGCATTAATGTAATAATAAAGGGTAGAGACAGAAATCACGCATACAAGAGTAAAGGTAAAGGTACTTTTTTACTTCCATAACGCGTGGGGAATGGTTGCCAAATTGTCCCCAGAAAGGGTGCTCGAAGGTGCGCCCTTTACTCCCTCAAACTATTAGTGCTCCTTATTAGGGGTATTTAAAGCTAAAGCTACTAGACAACAGAGAGTGAACAAAATCGAAACGTGTAGATCCTGATGATTGTACCGTGGACCTCTAGCTCTGAAGGCTGCACACTTGTAGCAAACTGAGCTACGCCTGCTCTATAAAGAAGGGAATATTTAGCAACACAAACCTTTTCTTCAGGTGATGAGCCTGGTTTCAGTGTTTTCACAGCAACAGGTAACCAATCATTCTGTTCTCCAAATCCTTTTGCTTCTCCCCCGAACACAGTTCCAAAGGCTCCTTCACCTAACTTACGATTAAGGACCACATTCTTCCTGGGGATCTCCCAGTCATCTAGCTGCATGATAGGAGACTGATACATCAGTCCTAGTTCTTCCATTCGTTTCTGGGTTGTTTTGTATTTCTTATCATATCTTAAATAACAAAAAACAAACAAAATGCCAGATCAAATCAGAAGTTCTTGTACTTAGGCTGTAAGTAAATAACGGGAGAGGTAAGGAGTGCGCATTTTAAAAATTTAAAAATATCACGAAGATCAAAATGTTAGATTCAATTCTTGTACCACAAGTTGTTGAGCAATATAATGTGAGAGGTAAGGGGAACTATGCTATTAGAGCAGCTAACAGATTTAGAAATAAAAACTAAAAATGCATCTTCAAAATGTTTTCTTTGAGCTGTGCTCCGGAGAGCTGTGCCCGATAAATGGATTGTATAGCGGCTGCCGGAGGCGCCTTCACATGCTTTCAGTTCGATCCCGTCGAGCTGCGCCACTGCTATACTTTGCGGTGGAAGTGATTAGCGATGACTAGACATTATTTTCAAATGAGAAAAATAATTTCTGTCACCTTCGTTTGATGCAGATCCAGATGAATGTAATAACGACAAGTAGAAATAAACTGATGGCAATGATGTTGATGACAGCAATGGACCAATCACAAGACAGACCAGTCAATCTACGAAACGATTCCACAGCACACACTTGTCTTTGTTTCCCTGTGAACAGTGCATCATAGATATGTATTCAATACCAGAGCCTGGTTGTACGAAGGATGGATAGCACTATCCAATGGATAAATCTTATCCAGTGGATAATTTTATTGGATAACAGCATCGATGATTTTTCCATCGGACAGTGCTATCCACCAAAGTGGTACAACTGGACCCAGTAGATGGTTATTGGATTGCATCGGTGTATCATAGATGCAGTAGATGGTCATCCCACTGTCTTCATAACACCTCTTCCTTGCTAAATGGATCTAACGAAAGACTCTACATTACGTAATTTCAGTAGACGCCCTCTCTTTTCATCTGTACCTAGAATACTAATCATCACCGAGATAAGTACTTACCCAGTCTACCATCAGTAGGCCTGTATCCTCCTGGCCATTTGATAAGAGTTTCATTCAGTTCAAGGCATCCTTCATAATAAGCACATTTGGTCTCACCAGGTTTGACTGGCACAAACTGACCAACAGTCACCGGCCTTCCTACACCAAAATACTGCAAGATGTTGACGGTGGGAAGATATCGATCTCCCTCTTTAAAAATAACTTGACCTGATACACCACTGAAGTTTGATTCTTGTAAAAACTTTTTGAGACGGCTGTGGATGAAAAGGTGAACAACTCGCCATGACTAAAAAGTCTCGTGACTCTACCTACATGAACCAAGGATTGTTTCAAAACATGGTTTATATTAACTCTGGTCGAAACGAACTCCAGAAATAGAAAGAGACACAGTTAACTTTCAATATGGCAGAGGGAAACTATGAAGGGGACTATTCATAGTGCACAAGATGATTGTTCAGTCAATGAAAAGGATCAAACTCGACACCGTCACGGTATCATTGATGAAAGGTATATCGCTATTTTAAAAAAAGGTTGAATACTGAATACTGCATACTGAATAGTGCATTCCAAGAACAAAGGGCATTGTCAGGGTCTCGTTAATTTGAAATAAAAAGTAAATATACAGCAATTAACTCTCTACATGTAGTTAGTATATTGTTTCAGATGGAATACACTTAAAATAGAATAAATAATTATTATTAATCCTTTTTAAGACAATGACACTATGACCCATAATGCACTTCAGTCTTGGAATGCAGTATTCAGTATTCCACCTTTTTTGAAATAGCTGTATAATAGTACTTACTTGGTTGTAATGTTGGTTCTTATAGTGTCTAACGAAGATGGGTAGCTTTTAAAGAGTTTGTTCAATGCATAAGCATAGGCCCAGACAGCATCATATGCAAAGCTAGCATAATCAGATGGAGGATAGCCCTTACAAAAACAGGAACATTTTAACAGTCAAATCATACTCAGTATCTCTTGCTAAGACGCGATCAGTGAAAAAGTCACGTGATGCAGTACTGCATACGCAGTATGGGTCCTAAGAATTTGGGACCCGGAGATACTTTTTATTGCCCCATGGTATTTAGGAAGCATTCACCTTTTTAGAAGAGGTGGCAAGGGCCAGAGGAATCTAGGGAACAGTAATCAAAGCTTTACACAGTCATAAAGGGAAAGTCATTAGTATTTTCCTTCAATCCTATGTTCTGCCCATGAAGAAGTCTGAAAAACCAATTGCTAGGGTCATGGTATTTCAGGGCTGTAGAGAGGTCTAAGTCGTATGAGGAGGGGTCAGCAATGTACGTGTACCATTTTTTTCACCAAAACACACATGTAAGCATTTGATCTTTAAAGTTTCCTGCCATATCCTGCCATCCAGTAAAATGCTTTTACAAGTGTGATATTTATTTCTTTGGAGAGGAGAGTCATTGACTTTTCTATGATTCCTCCAACCTTTTTTCCCTCTATAAAAGTGGATACTGACTCCCTTAAGATTACTAATTCTTCTTACCTTCTGTTGGACTTTTTTCTCATACTCATCCTTCCAGCCATCAACAGTATAACCTCCTACTACTTTCTCATTGTCACCGGCAAAGAATGAATTAGCCAATGAGAAGTAACCTCCACTGATGAACTCTTTCATCTGGCTGTTTGTACAGGATAACAAAGAAGTATCATATACTCCTAGGTGGTGGTTACTTTTGGAACTATTTCTCATCCACCATTCACTGTGTAACCATGAGGGGAGAAACCAGACGTAGCCATCTTGGGGTCTCATTCCCTGTTAATAAACAACACCAAAATAAGTGCTGTTCTGTATTCTATATTCTTTTTGTACGCACTTGGAGAGCTGCCAAAATCTAAAATGCGCAGGGAAAATTCGGATGTGTGTTGTCAATGCGCCTCATCTCACCGCCATGGTCATGTGTTTGATTCCCGGACTCGCTATCATATGTGAGTAGAGTTGCTTGTTGGTCATTATTTGTTAATACAATTCAAATTCAATTTAACTCAATTCCTGAGCTTCACAAAAGTCAGAGGTTTGTTAGCCACTGCTGAAGTTTGAGTACTACCCTTGCAAAACAAATAAGGACGATAAGCATTCTTCATTAAAAATAATTTATAATTCCAATGTAATACAGTCAAGGCACTAGGAATTTTCAATATTGACTCCTGGGTCCCCACAGTTTTTGGCAAATTTGGTTCCCCAGCAATTCTTCAGCTCTGGTAAAACCTTGTCAATCATGCGAGTAGTAGACTGCGAGGTAAGTCCTTCTATTTCCCTTGGTCACTGTCCGTCTGTCTGTCCGTGTTGATTGGTCGAGGAAGATTGGTTATGAGTCAAAAGTCCATGGGGGAGGGGGCTGGGGAGGGAGGGACGAAAGAAAAATAGAGTGCGAGTAGGGATTTTTAGGATGAATTAAAACTGTAATCTTTGATACATTATATATATATTTTTCAATCATTAACAAGTATGTAAAGTCAAGAAAGTGGTACCACACGGTCATGTTGACAACATTTTTTGAATCAATCAGAGCACGACAATGTTACAGTCATACAGTAGCATGCCCAGTTCTTTGCGTAAGTGTTTCACAGCCATGCAAAATTTGCTCTAACCTGATTAATTGCCTCGCACACCACCTCCCGTGCAACATCTTCAAAAAAACTTCCAAATATGATTCTAGCACCGCTCTTCTGGATGGACTTCAAGTAATTCTTGATATCAGCACTCTCTTGAAGGGCAATAAATCTTGAGTAAACAAGCTTAATCCCTTTGTCTGTCATATATTCGTGAATAGCAGTAACTGTAGCTGATGCATAGTTAACGTCCGTCAAGGCTGCGTACTGCTTCCAGTCAAGAGAATCAAACAGAGCTGCATATGCCTTCTTGAATTCAAAATAACTAGGAGACGTTCTGAAAAACAAGGGATACTTCTTCCTGTTTGCTAAGTTGACTCCCTCTAGACTGTACCCCATGACRATTGTGTTGTAAAATGATGATACCTCTGCGATGATTTCTGCCTGAACAGAACAAGCCGGTCCCAGAATTCCTGCCAAGGTGTAGTTATGGTTCTCGGATACAAAATCTATGTAGCTGTTTAAAACCAAAGATGTTTGACATTGAGTGTTCTTGACAATTAGTGCAAGACTGTAGTTTTGTAGAATATTTTGATCTTTATTTACTCTCTGGAGCCCCATTATAGCACCTGGAAAGCAAAGAAAATATTTAAAAAGATTGTTCAGCAGGCTTCTTGAAAGAATTGGCAAGCAACAAAATGTTATTTACTCAAATCTTATGATTCATGATAACATTCAATGAAATCGTATAGGAATCATTCAGTTTTAGTAATCGGTCCACAATCGTCCTGGATCCTTCATAACATTCTCATTTTTACTGTGGTGGGTTTATAAAGCATAACCCCATAAAGAGGTGTGCATGTGAACCTACTATACGAAGTTAGGAAGGATAGAGGTGCATTTAACCCTTGTTGGGAGAGGTTTCCTGTTGCCCTCCTCTATTAGAAGGAAAAGGAAAGAAATCTCATCAAGGAGAGATTAGAGCCAGGGCCGGGTTGTTCAAAGCTAGATTAGCGCTAATCCAGGATTAATTCTATAGGTCTTATTAAGAGTTAACCCAGGATTAGCACTAATCAGGCTTTGAACAACTGGGCCAGGTTTTCATCTTTAATGCAACTGCAGTCAGAACCAGTTCACACATGAATAGTGCAATCACAAGCCAAGTAAGATGAAATCTTCCAATCAATCCTTCTGATTCCACTTTGGATGCACTTCCAACTCCAATTCCAATTCTCTTTTCTGTTTTTTTGCTCCAACACAAGCTGATTTGGACTCTATTGCAAGTGAAAACCAGGCTTAAGAAAGCATGGATTGCAAGATGTATACTCACCCTCTAGGATTCCTGGTCTAACCCACAAAGCATCCTCATTCTCATCCATAGGAAACATCCCACCAATATACACAGGGACTTTACCAGTATGCAGACCACTAGGTAGCCATGACAACCAAACATTCCTTGTCTGTTGCAGCCAATAACATGCAGCTTCATAGCTAGACATTGTTCCACCAGCATCTTTATGGTTTTGGAGTAACAAAATGAGCTGTTTCTGCGTGAGGTACATTTTTTCTAACACATGATAAAATTCTGGCGCACCAGATTTTACTTCATACCAAGCAAATTTTTTGAGGTGGGTAAATGGGTAGTCACAATCAATGGTGTTGTTCTTGTCTATAAAAGACTGATCTGGTCTGAAATATAGAAATAAAATATTATGATTTTTTATGGATATAAATCTGTGTTTGGAATAAGCCTTTTCATAGTTTAAGAATCGATTCCACTGCGCATGCAATTTTATCCCGAATTTCTCACCTTCTTTTGTTTAATTAAGAACAAAAGAAGGTTTAGACAAAAGAAGGTGAGAAATTCAGGATAAAATCGCATGCGCAGTGGAATCGATTCTTAAACTATGAAAAGGCTTATTCAAAAAAAAAATTGTAAGATTTAACATCAAGATTCAGATATACTGAAGAAGACCAAAGCATTGGTTCTAAATTCTATGTAATAATTTTCGTGGGTTGTGACCAAAAGTTCAAAATTATTTCAATAATATTATGATTGGTAAATTTGTTGTATTAATATAGGAAATAAGGTATAATAAGACTGGTGAGTGGCAAGGTAGATGGATGAATGGGAGAACTGGTGGATGGGATGGGATGAATTGTTGAATGGGTGAAAGTGATGCATAGATAGATCTAATAAATGGAAGGATTGAAAAGATGGAATTGATGTGAGATTGATGAGAAGAAATGGGATGAATAGATGCAAAGATGGATTAATAGGACGAAATGGATGGATAAATAAGTATATTGAGTGGATGGATTGACAAATTGCACAAAAAATAGTCATTAATATTTGTATGAATGAATGGAAAAGGAGGTGGAATAAAAAATAAATAAGATAAGAGGTGGAATAATAATTGGTTTATAGGTAAGGTACAGGCCAGAAGTTTTCAGGGTTCCCACGTGCGGGAAATGGAACTCCGCTCATGGGCTCTGCTCTTATGTGTGTGCTTAATTTATGCAAGAAGTGTGGACCCTGCTCATACACGTGGAATATTCTTGTGTAATACAGTTTTTTGTTCTGGCTAACAAACCATAGAAACGTAGCTAAAGCAGAGAGGTTATACGGTATATAGGAATAATAATTTGTATATAGGTGGAATAATAATTGAATAATTTAAAAAAAGACTTACATGCCTATTGGCACTATTAGTCATAATGACGAATTGAAATAGCAATTATTATAGGGGTATCCTCACCTGCACTCAGGAAGGAACATTCTTGTCAGCTTTCCAATGCTTGTTATTGTATTTGGCTCCCAGTTGAGCAGAAGAAAAGGGCGCATAGAGCTATTTAAATTCTGAACAATGACCTGTGACAGTTTGGATCCAAGCCAGAATAATGAGATGTTTAATCTTAAATTCTTAAGTTGCTGGACTGCAAAGTATTCCATGTGTCCTATAACCAGGAAAAAAAAGAATGAAAGAATGAATGAATGAATGAAAGAATGAATGAAAGAGAGAGAGAGGAGGGAAGGAAGGAAGGAAGCAAGGAAAAAGAAAGAAAGAAAGAAACAGAAAGAAACTGGGGAGATAAGAAAGGAAGGAGGGAAGGAGGAAAAAAGAGAGAAAAAAAGGTAGATGTAAAAAAAGCCAAATTAGTTTTACGCAACTTTAAGTGAAAGGAATTATTATCAAAAACTTGAGGATGTGGTCTTTGACACATGTCATCTGTTCCAAGGGCATTTACAGGGCTTAAAACAATGGCCAGTCATTCTATTGTCTTGCCATTGGTACTTATCTGGTCAAATCTTTGACTAGCTGGTCATTTTCACCAGCAACGTTAAACCAGAATTGAGGTACAGTGTGTGACCAATCTAAAACTTATTAATTGTTTTAAAATATTTTTTGTTTATTTCAATTCATGACCTGAGTGACTGACTAGCCATTGTATTTTAGGCCCTGCTAATAAAACAGCACATAAAAAGGAACAATAATTAAGGAGCAATATTTAAAGAACAGCACCTATAATTATTAATACATGTAGCCATTAACTAACCTGGAAAATCTGCCATCATCAGTGCACAGCCACCTATTGATGCTGATCCATTACATACTCTATTAAGGTCGGTAATGCAGTCCTGCTGCTCTTTACAATATCTTATTACTTCTGTCAAGTTTTGTGCATTACACAAATGTGTTCTGTTTTGTTTGAATTGATTTACAATACTGTCGATTCTTAATGACATCCAGCTATCAGCAATAAGCTTGTTATCTACCCATTGGGATTGGACAAAGTGTGTGGGCATGTACCAGCCATACCTGTATGAAACACAAACAGGTTATTAGTCTAGACGGTTGTGGTGGTCACTTGGGAGGTAAATGAGCAAAGTAGTGATAGTGAAAGTGGGTGGGGGTGAGTGGTTAGCAGGGATGTCAATCAAATGTTTGGTAGGTGGTTATGAAATTAAAATAGACAGTAAATTGGAAATCACTTGAGCATGTAATCAAGGCATACTTGACACCAGTATCACTCTTCTCACAAAAATTCAAGATGGCGGACAACGATCGTAGTAGTTTTGATTGCGTTGCAGTTTTCATAGTACAACAACAAAGATTGGGTTAAAATTTATTTTAACGAACTTTAAAGAACTTTAATCAAAGTTTACAATTACATTGGGAAGTGGCTAAGTAGGCGGCCGAATTAGCAAGAGTAGAATGCGGAATCTGCCAGTTGCCAGCATCAATTGAAAACCCTAGGTTAGAGGAGCACTGTGGTAGTACTGGAAGTGGCAGGGTGATGGGGTAATGGTGGTCAGTGGGGATTAGACGAGCTTTGTAGTGATAGCAAAAGTAGTAGAGGGTTAGTGGTGGTTGTTGGTGGTTGATGGGGGTAGTAGATGGCATAGCGGGTACAGTAGTGGTGGTGACAGCAGTAGTATTGTACCAAGATGATATTTATCACACCATAATAAGTGTGTCATATGCTTGCCCTACATATAGAACTCTTTTATTCAGAGTCATTTTTCAGTAAATTTCAATGGTTTCCAAAATGAGGGAAAATAGTATCAGCAAGTACTGTGTTACTAACAATAATTACCTTCCATATTCTGTAATCTCCCCAGCATCTAACACAAATTTCTTATCAATCCATTCATTGTACAGAAAATTAGTAGGGACCCAGACTTCAGTGTCTACCATAACCTCTGGAACATTCTTTCTAATAGAAGAAAAGCATCTAAAAGAGAATATATAATGCATTGAGTCAAATAACAATGGAATATGATAGAACATTCAGTAGTACAGTACATATAGCCATTATATAGTAAAATGTTTACAGCCAAGATCTAGCAAAGAATTTGACAAAATTGCATGAAATACTGTATGTTTTTTATTTCAACATTCAATTGCAGATGATACCAAAAAATAGAGTTTATCTGTTCAATTACTGTCAGGTGTAATTTCCTATAAACAAAGTTTGCTTCTTTATTTAATTATTGTATTCACAATGACATGATAAAGCAGAATCAGCCACAAGCACACATACTTAACAAAAATTACACTGGTGGTACTGTATGGGTGTATGTGTGGCATGGGTGGCGTAGTGGTTTACCGCTTGCCTCTTACAGCTGTGGTCTGACTTTGAGCCCTGGCTCAGACAGGATCATATGTGAGTGGAGTTTGTTTAATGTGTTGTTCTCTCCCTTGCCAAGAGGGTTTTCTCCGGGTTCTCCGGTTTCCTCCCTCTGTAAAAATCAACATGTGAGTTGAGTGTTGTAACGCTGTAGATATCAAATGTGGTGGTAGTGCATGTGAAGGGAACCTTGAGAAAGAGCATTGTTGTATTGGAAGTGGTGGTTGTATAATATTAGTTTTTTTTAATCAATTACCTTGGACATCCAGACAGCTTTCTCAGAGAATCTTGAACACCAAAATCTGCATAGCTCTCAACTAAAACTACTTCCTCATAACCCAACACTTCTTCAGCAATAATCTTTAGTATATGTGTTGATATTTGTTGAGACACATGCTTATGATTGTAATGGAGTAGTAGCGGCAGTAGCTGTGTCGCAGTATTGCCAGAAAGCTTGAAATGCTTTTTAGCAACATTTTCTATATAAAAAAAGAATATTTCAGTAAACAGACCATACTGTGGGTCAAGATCACAAAGGAATAGGATGGGATATTCAATAATATAATTTTCTAAATGCCTATTTTAAAAAAAATAACGGCAACAATGATTGTCGCAAGACCAAAGAAATGCGGCTTATTCACCTATTGGGCACTCTTAGTCCCAACGGGATTAATGAATGCTTTGCTTTCAACTAACCCTTTTTTTGTCTTTTGATTGTTTGTTTTTGTTTCCTTGCCTACCTTGTCCTATTGGTTTCTTTTGTCTTATTCTATCATATAAACACTCCTTTCTACCACCTCTTTCTCTTTTACTCTGATGAAGGACTAGCGTCCGAAACGTCAGTAAGCTTTTTCATCTTTTCACGGTGTATAATTTACCCTTTTATCATTACTGTTTCATTAGAAACACCGACGCAGCTCACACTAGTTTTTAGCTAGTTATATCTTCTTATTAATTTTTTTTTTATATATAACTACTCATTAATACAACTAATGGACAATTTGGAAGATATGGTGGCCATCTTGCTGTGGTTGTTCCTAATTAGTAACTAACTGTTGTAAAAAGCTTTTGGCAACTCAACCTTCCCGCTCTGCCCCCCCTCCTTACCACCAAAAAAGAAAACACTTTTGAAATCAGCTGTATGCTTAACCATCTAGAATGTTGTGGTACCTCAACCTTTCCTCCCCCCTCACCCCATCCCACCTACCCTCCCACCCTGCTAAGCACCAAAAAAAAGAAAGAAAAAGGAGTGCTGTGGTACCTCAACCTTTCCTTCCCCCTCACCCCATCCCACCCACCCTCCCACCCTGCTAAGCACCAAAAAAAAGAAAAAATTTCTTAAAGGCAGCTGTATGGTTAACCATCTACACGGCTTTGGTGATGCTTTAATTAGTCATAAAAGCTTTTTGGCACCTTCAATTAGTAATCAACTTAAAAGAACCATCTAGATAGCTTTTTCTTCCACGTACATGGGAATGAAATATCATTTGTTAAAGATTGTATACCTTTTTTACAATACACATCTTTTTTGTAAAATTAATCAATTTAGTTCACACACGAAAAAAATTTCTGTGATATTTGTGAGTTTAGTTTAGCACCCTTCAAGAATAATTTCAGGAGGAATCAAACAGTAAGGCCTAGGGCAAACGTCGAACTTTCCATGCACCGAACTCATTAAAAACAATGGATATCAAGTGATAATGAGGCGGCATTCTTTGATGTAATTAAGTTGGGTCCATGGAAAGTTCGACATTTGCCCTAGGCCTAAGGTAAATAATTTTGATATTTCATATTTCAAAATTGTTATTGAAATTGGAATGTTTTCAAATATAAAATATTAATAAATTGATCATATTGAATATTATATTTAAAATAATTTTTACTCATGACCACTACACACATCAAGTATTATGATGTCACCAACCTCACAATTTTAAAGCATGTTATGGCAGCTGTTTTGAAATGATTCTGTCGATAATTTATATGTTTTAAAGCATTGACTAAAATACAATAAATCCTCAGTCACATGAGAAGATATCAAGGGCTTATTCTAAGGACCTTTTTTTATTCAAGGGCATTTATTCAAAAAAGTTGCCTTGTACCTTACACTCTCAAGATGATGAACTGAAGGTGCATATGAAACTCTTGGCTTCATAAAATATTAATATTTTAAGTAATAAGCAATGCCATTTTTTATTTAGTGATTAAAAATACTTCTAAGATTTCAAAAATGGAAGTTAAATTTTTATCAGATTTTGAGTGCACTCTTTGAGCAAGTATTGAAATGTTCCCATTTTACGAATTCATCTTCATGATCCGGTTAAAAAAAGAGATTTTTTGCTTTTGCAAATGACGACAAAAATAGGGATTCCTCAAAAACATTTGATTTTTTTTGTCAGAATTTTGGACATTTCTCCAGGTTTTTTTTATTTAAAATTTTATTTTCTGTTACTGGCATTCGAGTCAACTCACTCAAAATTGTTGAAGCTTAGTTTTTTCAAATAAGGTGCATTTTCATGCGTGGTTTTAAGTAAAAGTTAGTGTTAATGTCAATAAGTTTAATTAGGGTTGCAAATAAATAAGTTAATTATGATTTCCAAATTAGAAAATAAAAGAGAAAAAAGTACTTAACCCAGTAAATGAATATAATAATCCCAGTTTTTTCTTTATTTCTTTCCTTTTCCCTTCTTTCCTTTGTGCAATTATAGAAAAACAATTCCAATAAATATGTTTTAATTAGGGTTGCAAATAAATAAGTTAATTATGATTTCCAATTTAGAAAAAAAAGTACTAAACCCAGTAAATGAATATAATAATCCCAGTTTTTTCTTTATCTCTTCCCTTTTCCCTTCTTTCCTTTGTGCAGTTATTGAAAAACATTTCCAATAAATATGTTTTAAGACTACTTCTAAGTTGCGTAAGTAATGTAGTGAATTGTGAATTGTGAAGACACTGTCAAAGAGAATGAACATTACAAGAAAATATGATGAATTGAAATTAGTGTAAATGCAGGTGTTCATGGATAGAAAATGGCATAGCACTCCTGGGGGTGCAAATAAAACATGATTTTTTTTGACTGTGGGTCTTCAAAAATAATAATAAAGTAGGATGAAGAAGACAATAATGATCCCAAATTAATAAAGAGTCGGAAACATATCAATTTTGTTTAATAAATTAAAACGATTATTTTGGAAATGAATATTTTGATATATGGTAATGATGAAAAGGTAAATTATACACCGTGAAAAGATGAAAAAAYTTACTGACGTTTCGGACGCTAGTCCTTCGTCGGAGTAAAAGGACTAGCGTCCGAAACGTCAGTAAGTTTTTTCATCTTTTCACGGTGTATAATTTACCTTTTCATCATTACTGTTTCATTAGAAACACCGACGCAGCTCACACTAGTTTTTAGCTAGTTATATCTTTTTATTTTGATATATGCGCAACCAAGAAATCTATTGCAGTTTTTGAGCCCCCAGGCTAGTAGGCAAGATAGCCAACGGATAGAACTGTCATTTTACTTTTTGAAGACTAGGAAATAAATTGATTATGCCACAGATAATACTTGAATAAAATATAAACAGAAGCTCGACAGAGCTTTTAGTCTAAACATCAAGGCTAACATCTGCCATTAGCATCTTCAGGGTCATCAAGTCTCCTCAAATCTTAGATTACATACAATTATATGAAAACTGCGGCTCCGTTAGATTTAAACTGCGTAATTTTCTCTAATTTCTCTCGTATTTTTGAGCTGAGAATGGTTTTTTCCGCTGTTTAGGGCATTTGTCAAGCATGACAATAACAAAAGTAAGAGTATTTTGCACGTGCGAAGTTCGCACAAACATGCACGGGTGCTCCAATATCAAAATTCTACACAACGAACGCTTTCTTTTTGAGCTTCAAAATAACCTACTTTAGGCATAGAACGTCACTACACAGCTTTCCCTTTTATTCTTATTCTAACACTTATGAGAATAAACACTGAAACAGGTACTTTTGAGGCCTAAAAGAAGCGTTCGCTGTTGATGGATTTGTCACTTTGAATCAATCTTACCTGGTACGTCTTTGAGGCATTTCTCGGTATTGGTTTTCGTCAAAGGCAGAACAACTGCTAGTATAAGAAACAAGAAGGTTTGCATTGTTTCTTAAGCTAAAAATATGATAATTATCCATAATGTTCAGTGTTAAAAAGCGCAGGTAAAAAGACACTTCACCGCCATTAGCAGTGAACCTAAACAAACCTAGGTCAACACTTCTTGTAAGGGTGCGTAGGGATTCATAAGGGAGGGGAGGGAGGAGAAGGCTATTCGTCATTTGTATATGATATTCAAAAGAAAAGCAGATAAAGATTTTTGTAAAAAATCGTTTGTAATTTTCTACATAATAGGAATTCTTGTGAAAGATTTTGCCTGTTCGGGCAGAGGATAAATTTTATAACTTATTTTTTAATGAATTATGAATATTTGGACCGGAAATACGTCACAACCAGACTCAAGTCAGTCAAGAATGCATATATAAAAAATCTTAAAAAACTAATAATCAATGCTAAAAATGTCAAAATGTTAAAAGACAACAAAGCGTCACAAATAATTTCAATTAAATGATCAATAAAAAGCTACGAAATCTTAGTGTTATAAGCTCAGTGGGGATAATGGCGGGAAATTTTCCCGCCATAAACTCATGAGTGCGGCACGGGCGCGTCTTCGGCAAAGGCCCAGTCCTTTATTATACGGAAGAGTATGTTTGATAATGTTTGATATCCTTCCTTTTTATTTCTAGCCTAAACATTCTTATTAACGTTCATTATAACTGGTTTAATCCAGTGAATATAGCCCTCGTATTGTCTCCGATTTGTGCGTAGTGTTCACAAGATACCTACAGTATGAATTGGAATGAAAATATGCCTCATCTTTTAATACAAAATGGACATTTGCAGACTCAAAATGCAGTTACAAGGATACATCCAATAAAAATAACCAAGTTCAATGGCTGAGGTACGTAAAAATTGTATGTTAAAACAAATTACTCATAAACACTTGATGCCAGCCAAATTAGTGTGGACGGAAGGCCAAAACGCATCGAAATATCAGTGCTTTCAAACGAAAACGCATTAGTGTGGACGGGGACTAAATAAATTGGAGACTGCATGCGGATGTCCTGCATGCGTATGTGTATCGAAAAATCTTGCAGTTGATTTAAGTTATGCTGCCTGATACAGATGAAAATTAGATTTTAAAAAGTTCGGATCTTCTAAAGCAAATTAAATAAATCTTACTTTTTATTCTCAAAACAATGTAAAAGTTGTGGTTTTAGTAAGTAACTCGTGTACTGAGCCAAGAATGGCAACGCAACAGAAATTGAACTTCTCAAAGCTATTCCTATTGGATCCTACGTCACAATCTGTAGAAAGAAAGGCAAAGCCATTCTCATCTTTCTTTAAGACAAAAGATCTGCATAAAAGCTCTTTTCCTGCATTCTTTTCTTATTAACGAAGAAAATACAAACATTGACTGATGGTGTTGCTATTTTTATACATCTGGATGACATATGTCATTACGTCATCGCAAATATTGGGACTGAGGAACTCCCTAGCTGTAATTGTTGATACGAGAGTAGCAATCACTGATACTTGGAATCTACCCATTCAATAGATATTCATTGTCCAAAGTTTGACTTATTTATCATATATAGGGACTACTTCTTTGTCCCATGAATTTACCGATTTAGGAACTTTTTGTCCCATGAATTTATCCCTTCTCCAAGTTGCCATCACGTTTCTGGGAACCAACATTCCTGGGTAGATGTAAAGAATTTAGTTCAGTTTACATTAGCTAATTGGTGAGGAAATTCAAAACATGACCCTTTCATTCCAAGCTTTACTTTGCGGGTTTAACCATTAGCACCGGATTTGCAATCATCGTTATCCAGAGATCTGGCTCCTAAAAACATCTTCTCAAACTTCCTGATGATTGTGAGTTTTCAGTCATCAACAGGACTAGTCAAGAGCTTGTTAGCAGACCCGACAGGAATTTTAGTCTGAGGGCTGTGCTAGGGATGGCATATGAGCCCATATGATCTGTAAAGATGTTCACCGGCCTCAAAGTCATCAAAATTTAAAATATTTCACAGCGTACATTTGATTGCGTTTCAAATCTGAGTCTGAGCTATGATGCTAAGGGATTGGGGTATTGTGCATGCGATTGACTGCTTCGATGGCCACCCAGTAGGCTACTTAGATATATGTACTTGACGTCATAAGCATCTCTCAGCGTGCAATTTAAAAAGGAATTTTATGGATGGATAAGGAGTGATAGGCGTGACTAAGTTAATTGAAATCGCTTACCCTAAACAGCTCTATAGACTTGTGATGAAAGAATTTTATTGTTATGGGCGGTTAAAGGCAAGACCACGGGAAACCGAGCAAAGTTGTCGACGCCGTCTAAGCACTAGAAACTACAATCGATAGACATCGATAACCTATGGGACCTATGGCATTGGTATAAAAATCCGTGAAACATGTTAAAGTGTATTCAACTGGTTAAGTATGTGAGGCAGCTCAACAGGAAGCCAAAAATAATGCGACAGCATTATGATGTGAAGACTGCGGTTAGCAATCCGGAATTTTGAACTTTTAGCGAAAAATAGGAATATTCCTTCTTAATAATCAATATAATATTCGTTCCGTTACTTTATAGAGCAGTTTGATATCAGAGCATATATAAATTTCATAAATACTTCAAACGTTCAACTCGGCCGCATCCTTTGTTGGGTCATACGGATAGCATCAGAGGTAAACAACTAATATATCATAAAATAAAAACTTTGCTATTAGACATCAAGCAAGTAAAGAAGATTAAGGGCGGACCGTTTTCACAGCACCGTACAGACAAAATAGATGTCAAATAAATGCATTGTATACCAAAATCCACTCATTGAAGATCGGTGTTTTGGCTTTTGTAGGTTCCCTATAACATAAATAAGATAAATAAATAAACGCCATCAAACTGCAACAGCCAGTCACTAAGCTCGTTATATCAAACAAACCACTGGCTTTAATCAAATGAACACGGTGGACAGCCTGTCTACGATCTCAGTGCCTTGTTCTTTACTAGCAGTCTTGATCGCAGCCTCTAAAGCCTCTAAAGCCTCTAATCGATATGCACTTTTAAAAAAACGTATACTAATTTGAATACCTAATATAAAACACGAAAAATTCGTTCGAGTTGGATAAAGTGGTTTTTGGTAAGTTCTCAAAAAGCCTGTTGAAACAATTCAAGAAGCGAAGCCGAATCTTGTCGATGAGAGGATAATTTTTGGATTAAAAAAATGCTTAAAATATCTGTTTTGAGATACCAAGTCACATCAAAGCCGGTGATTGTTGCTTGACAGGGGGCGTGAAGCTGGTGACAGTTTTAAATATTTATAAACGGAATTACACTACTACCAATAGTTGAAGTGGCCCAAAAAAATTCAGTTTGTCTTTGTAAGACACAATCGGAGCGTTGCAAATCAAGTTTTGTTTACTTGAAGTTGAAAGCTTCTGTAGTTACCTATCGTGGGAAAGCAACTTCTCGAAAATGTCGCGCTGCGTTTTGATCTCGGTCGATTATTGTTCTGGTTCCGTAGAGCAATAGTAGAGAATGAACTGTCGTCTAGTTTTAAAACGCGACATCTTAGAAAAACTATCTTTCTTTTATATCTAGACGGTCTGGGTTGATGACAAGGAATCGGTAATCGATCTATTGTACATTTTAGCTAGATGACAAGTAATGTTACTTTTACAGTTGCAGAAGCCGACATGGATTATAATAGTGATTTCGTGACACTAGCTAACCCATTGCGATGTAAATAAAAGTATATTTTTATCGAAGAGTGAGATAATTCGGTATGAGTCACCTTCCCCATAGATTACATAAATGAAAATTCATTTAAATAAGAAAAGATATGACATAAAAAAATTAAAACAAAGGCATTCTTCCTCTATGACCGTGACAAAGACGATTGGCAGACGGCTTTTTCTAAGCCCCACCTTGATTGGCTGTTTTGTAATGCACGCCGCATCGTTTAAGAACACACAAATCATTAGACGGTGAACAACGTACGGTGAACTCCAGCTCAAATTCGTTTCTTACGAACACTGAAGTGTCTTATGGTTAAAAATACCACAGAAAACCCTTCATGTGCTACCGGGTGATCCAGTCGAAGCGAATGCTGCGGTTTATTTAGAAACTTGTTCTTGTATCTTGTATTAGGTTCATCTGCTCGACAGTTTCGTTCAGCACGAAACACCAAGATAAACAAATATGGTTACCGGTCACATCGTTTTCCTAGCCATTACGATTTTTTCTTTCTCGAGTTTTATATCAGTTTCCAAAGGACAAACGACATTGAACGCTCAGGTTACAGAGGACCAAGGAACTGATTCTACAGTTTATAGATTTCCAAGGCCTCCAAGTGGCGAAGTCTATTCACTCTTTCGAGCCAGCGACAGTTTAACAACCAGTGCTCTAAAATTATTTAGAATATCAACATCAGGGGTTGTTACTACTACGAAACCTTTGATCTACACCGTTGGAAAATCCAATACATATGAATTGACAGTCCTTCGTAGAACTCAGGGAGCTACTGAAGGCGGAATCGCTCAAACTCTCATAGTTACAGTTAAGGATATCGATAATTTTCCACCAACATTCGGTGCGGATATTTATTATGGAAAGGTTCGAGAGCGTGCCCCCTCTGGAACAGTGGTGGATGGTTTGGAAAAGTGTTACGCCGAGGATAGAGATTCTTCAGGAATCAGCACTTATAATATCGTTAGCGGCAATGAAAAACAGTACTTTTCTATTCAAACTGATACGATAGGAAGCCGTAAGTTTCTAACCTTGAAGACCACAAGTAACCCTATTATCCGTGATCCCGATTCTCCGTTCATAACATTAACGGTGCAAGCTCAGAAGTCGGGAACAACAAAGATCAGAATTGAAATAGAGGATGATAACGATCACACTCCTAAATTTACGCAAGATGTTTATTCTGAAAAGGTGCAGGAGGATGCTGCAGTCCAGACGGTTGTATCGAGCGTGAGTGCCGATGATGAAGACGTTGGAACAAATGGAGGGATCTACTATTATCTTGACCCGCTGAATGATTTCTTCTCGGTAGACGCAATAACTGGTGCTATTAGAGTTGTTCAGCCACTCGACTACAGCAAGGGAAGTGATTACAGTCTAACTGTTTATGCTAGAGATAGAGGTTCTCCTTTTAAATCAAGCTCTGCCAAAGTTAATATAAAAATTGAAGAGAACATAAGAAGCTACCCCCCTCCTGATACCCAAAACCCTGGCCAAAACACTCGCCCTTTCTTTCCTGAGGGGTCGTATGTTACTAGTGTGCGAGAGGATTTTCCTGAGAAAGGCGCTCTTTTGCTTATCAGAGCTGCTGATAACGATCCAGTGGGACCTAATAAAAGGCTGAGCTATGCCCTTAGTGGAAACGATGCTTCGAACTTTCTTATTAATGCTCGTAGTGGACTTATAACTTTGCAAAAAACAGTGAATTATAACAGTAATGGAAACAACAAGTACTCTTTGCTTGTCACTGCTACAGATGAAAGTGGCTTGTCTGCTACAAGCAAATTGATTATCGATGTACAAGATGTCGATGAGAATCACAACGCTCCAACATTCAATCCCCAGCGCAAAGTAGTAAGCATTTCGGAGGATGCAGCTGAAGATACGAGCGTAACTACAGTTGTTGCTACCGACTCAGACTCGGGAGATGATGGCAAAGTGGTGTATTCAATTGCACAGGGTTCTGGTATGGGGATATTTAAAGTGGATCAGACTAGTGGAATTGTGAGAACTGATGCTCCTCTAGACAGAGAGAAGCGCTCTTTCTATGACCTCGTTATCAAAGCTGAAGATAAGGCGACTTTTCCAAAGTCGTCCAATCTTTATCTGATGATAAACGTCGACGACGTCGATGACAACTTCCCTTTCTTTTCTCAACCTATGTACATTGCAAAAGTCCCTGAAAAAACACCTGAAAACACTTTTGTGACTGTGATGCGAGCTTCAGATCCTGATCAACGCACGTCATTGACATACGCAATTACGAGTGCACAGTCTGCATTTAAAATTGAATCTGCCACTGGTGTTGTGCGAACTGCGCGCTCTCTCGACCCGACGCGCGGTGAAGCAGAATTTGAGCTAATAGTGGAGGCAACTTCAACTTCTTCCTCTCAGACGAGAAAATCAGTGGGACAACTAAACGTGACCGTCACAAGCAAAGCAGATTCGCCTCCAGTTTTTAAGAACACTCCTTACGCTGTAACTGTGCCAGAAAACCAAGGGGATATTTCGAATTTACTTTGCATTGCTGCGGTGGACGCTCATAATGATGTCGTCAAGTACAGCATCGTCTCGGGAGACTCGGACTTTGCTATTACAAGCTATTCAGGTAAGAAATTTACGAGCTCAATTTTAATGTTGTAAAAATAGACAGATCTTCTAAGTTGTTATCCTTAATCTCGGTTGCTCTTTGCGTATTATTCAAGGTCATCTATCCATAGTGATAATGTTCACCTGAACAATTTTGATGTTAATGTAATCCTATTAAAGGGGTCATGCACTGCATCCTGATAGATTTGTAAACAGTACAAGTTTTCCTAAAACATCTGGTATCATTAACGCTGACATCTTTGGTTGGGACTTATCATTGTTCCTTTGGCATGATTAAGGTAGAAAATATTTAAGGTATTTTGTCGCAGTCACAGGGGGCTTCCAGGTTAACAAACATGCTAAATAGCAAAAATCATAAGAGTCTTGCCGACAAATTATCAAAAATATATGCACCAGCTTTTCTGTGGTATGGGATTTGTAAGATACACCCTTCTCTCTCACAAGATAGTTTATATCAAGTTACCTCACACTCAATTATCAAACACTTTTCAAGTCACTAACCATGAATAGAAGAATTAATAAGCACTTGAGTTTTGACAGATTGGCTGTTTTGTTAACATGCTGTGATTTTTGGCAGGACCTTTTCATTTTCTTATCCCTTTTCCTTGAAACTAAAATATAAAACTATAGATTTCATTTTGTGTGTGTGTGTTTTCCTAAATGTCAAATACTCACCATCATGACTTTTTAAAGAAAAAAAAACTTGGAAAGCAAATAGCATGAAAAATTATACATGTATTTGAAATAAGTGCAAACACTTAATTGGCTTTTCTTGATACTCTGTTGCACTGAAATGGCTTCCCATGTTTTCATTTGGTATCTTGCCAATTTGGCATTATTTTAAAAAATCTCTTGAAATGTAATCCCTTTTTAGGGAATGTTATATTAACATTAATATCAAGCTTCATATTAAAAAAAAACTATACGATAAAGTAAATCTAAATAAAAACCAATTTAAACTCACTTTTTTGCAAATATTTATATTTTGTTTAGATTATGAGATTGTTAATAGAATTTATTGAGCCAAAAAAAAAAACCCAACAGAAAAAGAAAGTCTGCAGTACAAATATATATTCCATATATGTGTATACTCTCATACACAAAGAAAAAGAAAGATAATATGAATGAAAATAAGATTCTTTAGTAACTTAAATATTTGACATAAATATTTGATAGTTACTTACGAAACTGCTTTGCTGCATAACTTGTTACATAATCATTAACATTTTATGAATCCAGTCTGCATTTTAGTATAAAATACAATGTAATGGAATAATATGAAAAAGTCATAACAGTTTGCTTAATAATCTTTAAACACTCTTAAATATAAAGTTGTTTATAAGAATCATAGTATAATTAAATATATTGACTTGATGTTTATTCTTTTTCCACGACTTGTTGATATTGGTTTTGTATTTTTATTGCATAATGAGTATAATGAGTAAGGCATGAAATTAGTTATTAATGGGCATGTTTTATCAAGTCTATCAATTTAATCTGAAATCCTTACATTTAATAACAGACGTTTTAATTATTTGTTAGAACTTGCTTCTTATCATAGTAATTCATCTTGCTCACATTATCACCATTTCCAAGTATTTTTCTCTTTTTCTTGATTAAAAAATAATTAGCTCATCTATATTCTGTATACCTCAAGGACAAGGCATATACTGTTGGTAGTAATTACGTATGCATGGGCAGTAAAGTGCATCAACTCTTTGAAAGCCAAGGAATGAAAACAAAGATGCTATTTTGGTTTTGATGTCTGATATTTTATTATTACATTTATTTTATTTTTGGTTGCATGAAACTTTATTATTATTTTAATCATTCATTGTGATGAAAATTTTGAAATATTTAATTGAAATATTAGTGAACCATTTATGAATAATTATTAACCCATCAGGAAGCATAGCTTTAAAATTAGGGCATTTTTAAGGATTAGTGATTTAGTGATTAAAAATCAGTCACAAAGAAGCTGCAAAATATTCATTGTTACAATGATGCTCAGCAAGTTATGCCCAATGGTTTAACATTCTGGGGTAGACAGAGAGCCTACGTTTTGTACCCAATGGATAAAGTTATTGTTAAGCATCCTATAATTATCAGAGATTGGCTTAAACTCTTTACAGATGCAAATAAAAAACTAAATGTAATACCTACAGCTGTAATCTCCTTAATCCTTTAAGGACCAATTATTGTTGATGTTACTTAAATTTTGAGAATTAAAACCATGACCTTCTGAACAACAAACTAAAGTTTATCCATCTCAGCTAGTGCAATATGGCACAGGGTTCTTCTCTTATGCTTTTCTTTTTAAAATATCTAAAAATATATATTAAAACTAAACATACTTATTTAATGATAATTTAATAATCTGTTTTTACACAAAAAATCCTTTGTAAAAGCAATAACTTGCTATTAAGCTCTATGACCATTCTCCTGTCTATCTTTATAAATACCACTAAGAGTCTTTTACATATTATTATTATTATATATTATTATTATTATATATTATTATTATTATAGTTGTGTGTATATATAAACTTGTGTATTTTCAATGAATTTTTTTCCTGTTCGTACCATATTACAATTATTCTTTATAGTGTGATGATAGATATTAATAAACCTTCTTTTTTTCAGGAAAATTTTCTGCCAAAAAGTCCTTTGATTATGAAGTGGATGACAAGTATCAAGTTCGAGTTGAAGCTGTTAGTGGCTCCTCTACAAAGACAGTATCCACGGATGTTACAATTACAGTATCTGATGAGAAAGATCCACCTTTGTTTTCCCAACCATCGTACACCATCAGCCTTAAAGAGTCTACTCGAGCATCAACAACTGTTTCTACAGGGATCAGAATTATTGACAAAGACACTGGGAGTGATAAGTTTGAATGCTCAATGGAAAAGATCACAACATTGGAAACAATTGAATACCTCTCTGTCATACAAGATGGAGGAGAATGCAAACTTGTTACCAAAAAAACACTTGATAGTTCTGTTACAGCTCGTTTTGAATTTGAAATGCGTGCTACAGACAAAAACTTCAGAGATATGTTTGCAACTGCCAGTGTTATTGTAAATGTTGCTGATGAAAACAACCATGGCCCAGTGTTCTCTGAAACATCATACTGGGTTTCTGTATCCAGTGATGTCCCAAAAGGCACCAGTATTTTGAAGCTGTCAACAATTGATAAAGATCTTGGTAGCTTTGGTGAAGTAACATATCAATTGGGTCTTCTTGGTTCATCTGATGCTAGCAGGTACTATTTATAAAGTAATAAAAAATGTTTGCACATGCTGTGTGCAGTTTTAATACATGCAGGGATTGGCAGAACACGAGATAAGGGTGTTAGGAGAAGCTCAACACATAGCAGAGTGCTCCTCAACACTTTTCGAGTGTCGTGCTGATTTCCAAGTGTTTTACGACTTTACACTACACAGCAAGCCTTTTTTTAAATTTCTTTTATAAAATTCAAATTAGAGTAGCTCAGCTGGTCATGAAGTACACATCAAGTGCCTCCATATTTTCTTAACTCTAAGATACTAGTGTTACATTTTTTATGTAGGAAAATAAGATCTCAATTTTTTTTTTTTCATAATAGATTTAGCATTGATGACAATTCTGGTGTGATCTCAAGTTCCTCAAAGCTGATCAAGGACACAAGATATCAACTGCAAGCTATTGCTAGAGATGGAGGTGAGAAACACTCGGGAGTGATACAGTTGGTTTCACAAAACTTCAGCTGCTTTAACTCCGAAGTTAGTTCCCAAGTTCTCCAAGTTGGTCCCAAACTTGCAAACTTTTTGTGAAATTGGTTTAATCAACTGTAACTTGCTTATGTCTAGAATTCAAATATTTACTGGAATTGCTTCTTTAAACCATATACTTTTTGAAAATTGTATTCCAAACGTACAGAGTCAAATTCCTTTTGTCGCAATAAAATTCACTTTGAAAATTGAATGTAATTTTTTATAATCTTTCATCATATTCAATATCATAACTGATCATCATTATTGTGTATTCCATTATCATCATCCTTAGCATTGCCATCAGCATCACCACTGTTACTATTGCTGTATCATCATCATCATCAGCACAATAAGTGTTTCCATCATAGTAAAATGTTCATCGTCGTCAATACTGCCAATATATGTCTCCAAAATCTGGTACTTGCTTCTTAGACATTATCATCATCATCATCACTGCCAATATACTTCCTATGCATCGATACTAATATATATTTTCACCTTTCTAGGGTCAAGACAGGCAAAAGTGACAGTATATGTTTCAGTCTATGATACTGTTGATACTCCTGTTAAATTCCAACAACCAAGCTACTCTGCCTCTATATTAGAGAATAAGCCCAAGAACACTGAAGTGGTCCAAGTGCAGGCAACAAAGTCAGGCTCGACCAGTGGCATCTCTTATGAGCTTGTTGGTGGATACAAAGAAGGGAATGTCGATATATTTCTCATTGAAAGTTCTTCTGGCAGAATAACCTTAAACTCTGACCTTGATCGTGAAAGGAAGTCTTCATATGAACTTGTTATTCGCGCAAAGCACACAGGCGGCAGGGTTGAGCTGGCCACTAATGTCAAATGTACAGTGACTGTGGAAGATATCAATGACATGCAACCTCAGTTTGTTTTTGACAGAGACCCCAAGACTTTCTCAGTAGATAATCATTCACCAGTTGACACTACCATAGCAACGGTAAGACTCATAAATGAGAGGCTTTATGTAATTGGGTACCCTGTGGCATATTACAGAAATTGAGCATTCAATATGACATGGATCTTCCATTGAAAGTCTTGGTGAAACAAAGATGGGAGGGCTGAAAGTAATCAAACAAGGGGGGGRAAATGAAACAGGGACATTTGAAACTATCAAAATCTAGGGGCTAAGCTGTCCAAATCTCTTAAATTGAAGGAGACCCCCTCCTCCTGCCTACAATACAATACAGTGAGCTTGAGGGTGACCTATTAACCCCAGGAGCTATTTAACTTATGGTCTTGTGCCTTAATTAATAAAGATTTTGATCTTTTGATCATGACATAAATATTTACTTACCAAGAATTTTTGACTAATGCTTGTGCTGCTGAATTAATTCTTTAATTCTTGTATTAATTCTACATCCTAATACAGACATATATCCATGAAAATATCTTCCATTAATTCTTCCATAATGAGTATTGTGTTATTAAGCTAGTTGATAAGCTCGTTTGAATTAAACACCCTGCCTTTTTTTCCTGCTCTTCCACTCCCTCATCACTTACTTCCTCATCATTTGGCCTTTCCATAAACCGTAATTTAGTGAAAATCGTAATGTCTCCAAAATTGCTTCAATATTTTCATTAATTAATTTAATGACTTAGTTCATTGAAGGTTTTTATCTCATGTTTCATATCAGATACTGGCCATCGATTTGGATCAAGGTAATAATGGCAAAGTCTCGTACTCCATAGCCTCAGCGTCGTCTAGTACGCCATTCAAGATAGATTCATCTAAAGGAACACTGATGACAAAAGAAAAATTAAAGTAAGTGTTTAGTTGCGTATAAAATTGATCTAAGTCGCAAACTCAATGAGGAGCGTGAGAAGGTCTAAGAGGGACTTTTAAAAAGTCTAGGCTGGATTTTAAAAAGGCATGGAAAATGGGTTTATCCGTATCATGAGAAATGGTATTACTCAAACTTGGCAACCAACTTCTGATCTATATATGCTCGTTTTTTGTTTCACCTGAGTCGGCATTAAACAACCACCCAGACTAACTAACATACAAATAGAAAATTTCTACCTTTGTTTTTCTCACGATGCTTTTTTCTCGTTTGTAGCATCGTTTTCGGCAATCAAATAGCAAGCAAGTCCTTTTCGGTGGGCATCGTAGCAACCGACGGAGGTGGTAAAAGCACCAGCAAAACTGTCGTCGTGGATGTCATGAATGTCAACGAGCCACCAAAATTTCCCAAGAAAAGCTACAACAGTCCAGTCCAAGAAAACGCTAGAGTCGGAGATTCAGTCGTGTCAGTAAAGGCTACATACGCTGTTGCCGACGCCTTCTTGAAGTACAGTATCAAAAGTGGTAACAGAGATGATGCATTCTGTATAGATCGTAAAGGTAAAATCACCGTGGCTCGTCCGCTGGACAGAGAAAAAGTGCCTGCCTATATGCTTTCTGTCGGTGTTGCCCTTGGCAACGAAGAGGACTCTACGACGGTTTACGTTAACCTTACGGACATCAACGACGATTCTCCACAATTTGAAAAAGAGGTGTACTCGTTTTCCATTAAAGAAGATGCTGGTAAGTCGTGCGCCATACTTTGCCTTCATATTCAGAGTTTTTGAAAAAATTATAAACGTATGCGCCGCTCCCGTTATGTTATCTTATATCTTATGACACCACTACAAGATTCCTTTTCGTAGTTCCGGCTTTTATCATCCTATCTAAGACCAATATCTTACTACTCCTAAAGGCGCGATTACACGGAGCAATATTCTCTGCAACTTGTCTCGCTACAGCGTTGCCAAAAGTAGAAACGAATCCTACTTTTCGCAACAATTGCTGCAACTTGTCTTCCAACATTTTTAAAACTGCGCTGTAGGTTACACGTTGCAATGCTCCATACAACTTGTGTCGCAACGCCGTTGCGAGACAAGTTGCAAAGAAAATTGCTTGGTGTAATCGCGCCTTAAAGGTCCTAAAGAAGTTGAAACGTCGAAGAAGATTAATAATTTGATAGTAAAGATTCTCATGGTAGGCATGGTATCAAGACGTGATAATTAAATAGCTTACATGGAAACACAAAAGAAATGCCATCAAGAAAAAGTGTGATATTTTTGTGTTTAAATATTGGCCTCGCATTCAAGATCATTTTGAGAAGGGTCCATTGATTGTAGCAGAAGTGTTAGATCATTGATGTGCGTGAACTGAATTTTGATTATTCAATAATCATAAGATATTTTAAAGTTCAGCATGCCTTACATTGTGTCGTTTGTAGAGGAGCTACACTACAATGCACCATGTTTATTCGAAATCAAAAAAAAAAAAAAAAAAATAGAATAATAGAAGGTAACGTATGGTATGATGACCTGATGATGACCTTATGGTGTTATGACCTTATGATGACCTTATGACATATGATGATCTCAGAAAACGTCTATATTTTTGTGTGGCTTTTGCTTTGTTAACGACTTTGTAAGAAACAAATCTTTTTGTACCTTTCAGCTCCGGGAACTTTTGTTGGAAAGGTTGTTGCGAAGGACCTCGATAGTGGTTCATTTGGTCGGATATCCTATAAATTACTATACAGTGTAGACGTAAAGTCACGAGAAAGGTTTCAAGTGGATGAAAACACTGGTGTCATAACCACTAAAGCATTCTCGCCCAACCCGAAGAACCTTCTTCCCCTGGACTACGAAGATATCATACAACATGTTCTCTTCATCAAAGCTGAGGATAACGGAGGCTCAAAGTTAAGCGGTAAGGATGTTAGAGGTTCTTGAAGTTTTCTTGTTGCCTAGTCTTTAGATAAGCGAAGCGTGCTGGGGTGCAATAGTACCATGTATATGATGAACAAAACTAACCTAGCCAGATATCTGTGAGTTAACCATACCCTGATTTTGATCAGCCCAGAGGTTTCGGGGTATCATACTTTACTATTATTAGACATCCTATTACCTGTTACCTATCCTCTTCGCGCCTCATGGCACATAGGGCCTTGCCCGAGCTCTCTTTCACCTTTCGCTGTTGGCCGCCATAGTCTGCACCTCGTCCCATGAACTCCAGCCTGCCTCTCTTCCTTCTTGCTCCACAGTCCGTCTCCACGTTGTCCTCGGTCTCCCCCTTCTTCTTTTTCCTTCTGGTGCCCAGGTCATTGCTACATTACAATCATTATCACGATTTTGTCTGAGAATATGGCCAACCATCTTCCATCTGCAAAATATTAATAGACATCGATTTTGGTAATATCAGTGTTTTGACTTAGGGGCAATTGACAATTGTAAGCCTGGAGAATCTTGGAGGTTGTATGTGTGTCTTGATTACTGGTTTCAGGCCGTAGAAATAGTTAGATTGATACTTTAAGGACTTATTTCCTCGACATGTTTTGACTTATCAGCAGCTGTTTGCATGTTAATTAATGGCCCCCAGTTAACTCCAGAAACAAATTCACGTGATTTATAGTAAGCAACAAAATTTGAATGTTGAACAAAAACTTGTTTTGCTAAGGCTAAACCACAAAGTGCCCCATTGTGTCCCTTTTAGAAAAGCCTTATTCTTTACAGGTTCAAATCTTTTGTGGATCTCGGCCCCTTGTTGAAAAAGTAATCTATTAAAAGTGCAACAATGCTCCACAATAGAATAAATAGTGAATTTAGGGGGGAAATGCGAGTCACGGTGGAGGGAGCAGATGTCTACTTAATTTGTCAAACTTAAAGGGAGGGAGGGTGGGAAGAGAACATAAATAAACTCATTTAAAATAAGTCAATGAGGTCACCATCCTGAAATGGTACACCTACTCGTGTGACCGTTGACTTATGACCGAGTATGCAACTATGCGTATGTTCTGCCTACTTTTATACTAATTGTTACGCATGGTTGCACATTGAATAGTATCAAATCGTTTTTCTTTATTTCACATCTTTTGGGAATATACGAATTTGACAAGAGCGCTCTATCAAAAAAAAAAAAGGCTCTTCAATGAATGTATTTATTAAATGCATATCCTATAGCTTTTGAAAACTTTCTTCTTATTTATTTTTTATTCTTGCAGCTATTACAGCGGCACACATCAGTGTGAAAGATGTTAACGACGAAAGTCCTACGTTTTCTGCAGCATCATACAGAGCTAAAGTTTCGCTGGACGCAAAGGTGAACGATTATGTTGTCCAGGTTACGGCAACCGATCTGGACAGTGGATCCAATGGCCAGAAGGTATACTCCATTGTCAGTGGCAATGAAGAGGGAGCTTTCGTTATAAATCGTGAAAACGGACTCATCTCCGTGGGAAAATCTTTAACTACTGTAGCTGCAGACAAGTTTACTCTAAAAGTGAAAGCCGAAGACCGGGGAACACCACCAAGAAGTAACAAAGTAGATGTGGAAATCAATGTATTCCTTCCCGATGGCCCCCCAAAGTTTGTAGTGTCCCCTGTTTATGTGAACGTYACCGAAGGAATTGCAGCCAATGAGCGTGTTGCCGTTGCTAAGGCTGCGACATCTGAGGCTCTTCAGTATGAAATCACATCTGGTAATACCAATGGAATGTTCAAGATCAACCCTTCCACGGGAGTGATTCTCACGACACGCATCTTAGATTACGAAGAAGCATCTAAATATCAGTTGGAGATAGAAGCCAGGGACACTCGAGATCGGCGTGCTCAAGTTGTTGTAATTTTATCAATACTAAATATCAATGACAATGCTCCTATRTTTCCCGGAGAGGTGCAAGGACAAATAGATAGAAAGGTGGCTGGTCCCTTGGCAAAGGGCGTGGTCGTCACACGACTTACAGCCATTGACAAGGATAAAGGAGACTTAATATCTTACAAACTGTCTCCAGCATCAGTCCTAGATAATTTCGAAATTGACAAAGACGGCCTACTGATTGCTAAGAATAACCTGGCGAACATCCCATCGACATATCGATTCAAGATTACAGCTAGTGATAACGGAAGTCCAAAACAAGTGCATACGGTAGATGTTCGTATGGTATTCGTCAATTATCGACCAAAACAGCAACCCGTACGGGCGCTAGTGCCAGAAAGCATTCCCGTGAATAGTGTCATCACACGAGTTCCAAAGTACTTTCCAAGTGGGGAGTTTTCTATCGTGTTTCCTGAGAAAACAAACTTTACTATTGATAACTCAGGTTACGTGCGAATCACAAGCCCGTTAGATTTTGAAAAGCAGGCATTCCATCTAATAACCGTACGAGAAAAACAGACGGCAGGAAAACTAACCAATGACTTGGATGTAGAAATAACAGTGCTAGACTTGAACGACAATGCTCCTTACTTTACAATGACATCTACCCTTGGCCGCGTGAACAAGAATTCACGAGCTGGTGCAAACGTGTTTCAGCTTAGTGCTCGTGATCAGGACAGCGCATCCAATGGTCTGATTGGATTCCAGCTCCTTCCTGGCGGAACCCCTTTTACTATCAACCCATTCTCCCGAAAAATTGAGGTTGGAAGAAGCTTAACGGCTACTAGATTTTATCCAAGGATCATTCCTTTTGATTATGGAACACCTCATGTAAATGGTAGTGCCGCCACAGTCGATGCTGAAACGTCTTTTACGCCACCCATTTTTTCCAAGACGAGCTACAAATTCAGCGTCTTTGAAAGAGCGCCCATTGGGAAAAGTATTGGTAATATTGATGCTAGAAGTGTTTCTGGAGCAAGGCTGAATTACACAATTAGGGAAGGAGACCCAAACGATAAATTCATTGTGAAAGACAACGGCGATGTGCTGGTAAACAGTCGTTTGGATTTTAAAAATCCCCCGACCACGTTTAACCTCAAAGTGCGAGCAACTGAACAAATTCCTAATGGGCTGTACGCAGTCATTGATGTACAAATTGATGTGGTTAATGCCAATGATTTCCATCCATACTTTGATAAACTTGTATACAAAGCAACTATAAGTGAATCCGTAGGCCTGGGAAGCGTCATTAAAACTGTCCAAGTTTACGATTGTGATTGTCCTTCCGGTTGCAAGTGCAAGCCTGGTTACATCAAGTTCTCATTAGAGCCTAAAGGCTCGTTTACCATTGACGAAGACACTGGCCAAATTTTGTTAGCACGGACTCTTGACTATGAAACGAGTAAAATGCATCTTCTTAAAGTGATGGCTACTGACAGTGGCCAGATAGTGTACAAAGCAGTTGCCTTCGTCGTAATAACAGTAACTAATGTCAATGATAATGCACCTGTCTTCAAGAAGAACGACTATGAATTCAGGATAACCGAAGATGCTGAAACTAACAAGCCCTTGGCGGCGGTTGTTGCTAAGGACAACGATGGCGACAAGGTTTCATTTTCGCTTGTCACTGGTGTTAGTAACTTCTTTGTTGATGTTGACAGCGGCGTCCTTCAACTTAGGACCTCTCTCCCTATGGGAAGCGATAAGACAGAGTACACCATCACTATCCGAGCAAAAGATCCTGATAACCGATTCAACGATGTGCGAGCTAGAATAAACATCGAGCACAAAAACACCAAAAGACCACGTTTTACCGTATGTCCTACCAATCCCATACAAGCGAAAGTTCAAGAAAATCTTCCAAAAGACCAGCTGATTACCAAAGTGGTTGCAGTTGATGACGATAAAGGTAGACATGGGGATATCGAATATTCCCTGGTTCCAGTCGGAGGACAGAACTTCTTCTCTATCAACAACCGCACAGGTGAACTCTTCACTACCACGAGCCTGGACAGAGAAAAACAAAAAACCTACACTGTAATTATTCGAGCTGAAGATGGGGGTCATGGAAAAATCCCTGAAGAACGATTACTAACTTACTGTTTCTTGCCCGTCGAGATTGTCGATGTGAACGACAACTTCCCTAAATTCATCACCCGTACTTACCATGGCAGTATCCAGAATAACAAGCCAGTAGGAACATCCGTTTTAACGGTTAGCGCTACGGATGATGATTTTGGTAGTAATGCCGAAGTGGTCTACTCCCTCAAGTCTTTCAGTGACAAATTTAGAATTGATTCTACAACAGGCGAGATTAAGACAAGTGCAGACTTAAATGGAATCGAGAGCAAGGAGTTTTTGACTGTTGTCGCATCAAACAAACAGGCCGTTCAGGGAAGCCCGTCTGACGATCGCGATAGAGAGACGACAGTTGAGATATACATATCTTCTAAGGTGCCTCCAGTATGTCAGAGTAACCCGTTTAGAGCTAGTATTGACGAAGCTTTGAAAACAGGTTCCAATGTTCTACAAGTACGAGCAACCACTAAAAGTGGAGCAAACATTCGGTACAGTCCTGTAAAAGCAAACATCGACGTGGATGAAAAGTTCAGCGTAAGCCCAAGCGGTTTAGTAACCACAGCGTCACAGCTGGACTACGAAATCCTCCCAGAAAACGATAAGAAATTCCGACTTCAAGTTCGAGCTCAGGAAGATGGTACCAACCTTTTCTCCACCTGCGATGTAGTTATTGAACTCAAAGACGTGAATGATGATAAACCAACATTCGATCTCGGTAGCTATGATGCAAGAGTGCTAGAAAATGCTCCTTCTGGGACAACAGTTATGAAATTGATAGCAAAAGATAGAGATCAAGGAGAGGCTGGCAAGGTATCTTACTACTTAAAACCTGATGATAATTCTCAGTTTTTCTCGATTGAATCAACGACTGGGATAATAACGACCAGGACATCTTTTGATCGAGAGAAAAAGGATAAATACAGCATTGTCGTGATAGCGAGCGACAATGGTGTTCCTCAGCTGTCTGAAGAAGTAACCGTCAGAATACTCGTGGTAGACGAGAATGACCAGTCTCCCAAGTTCAACCAAACACTATACATGGTCAGTGTGCCTGAGAATGCTCCGCTTGGAACCAGAATCCTTCAGCTGAATGCTATTGATCTTGACGTCGGAGACAACGCCCTAATAGAATTTTTTATCTCTGGTGGAGACAGCAGTGGTTTTTTTGCCGTGGAGACGCTTAGTTCCGGCGGCAATAGGTACGGGATATTGGTGGTTGATGCGAAGCTTGATTATGAAACCAAGAAGACATATTCCATCCAGGTTTCCGCAACGGATGGAAGAACCAGCGATCAGGCCACAGTTAATATAAACGTAAGTGTTTTATATCAGCGTAGAAACCGTTTTATTAGTTTTACTCAGGGCTGTGTGCGCACCAAATATTAAAAGACAAAAGAGAATGCAAAATGTAAAGCCATTACAACTTCTATTGAACGGCCGTCCTTGGGAGTTATTAAGGGGCCACTAAATAGAGGTTGGCATTATTACAAAAAGTATCTTTGGGACTTTGACACCTAGCGACTAAATCGAGATTGCAATGCAGACTATAGAGGTACCACTGTGGCTGTTTGCTTCTAGAGGGAAATACGGTTTCATAATCAAATACGGTGCCAGTGATGTATATCAAATGAATTATTATTACTTATTCTCTTTTAAGATTAAAAGAAAATTTGGCTAACCTCTCCTCTTAACCCTATTTTTGTAAAATTCATGCTTGGATTCATCGCCCAAAAGAAAGAAAGTCCTTTGTTCCTCCAAATGTCTAATATCTCTTTCTTATTGATGAAAATTGACTTTTGGATTCGAAAATGGGGCCGAGGGGAGATGCAAGCTATTCTTCTCTTAAAGAGTAGCTTCTAAGAATAAAATGGAAGCCATGAGTTTGACTTACATGCAAAACCCTTTACCATATTATGATGCTCACTCAGTTTTATAAAGCATCTTATTATTTTAAAATTCTTAGGTATTGGATGTCGACGATGTAGCCCCAACTTTCCGGGAACCGATGTATGAAAGGAGCATCGAAGAAGGCAGTCCAGCTGGGGTAACTGTCATTAGGTTGACCGCAACTGATGTTGATACCCCCTCCATCTCTTATAGTCTTGGATCCCGAGCCGAAAACTATTTCACAATTACTACTGAATATGAGAGCGGAACAAATTCGTATGTGGGAGTCATCAAAACGGGTAACAAGAAACTCGACCGAGAAGATTCGCCTATCAAAATGTTCACAGTCTTTGCAAGTGACAGAATCCGTCAGGGGCAAACAGAAGTAAAAATAAACTTGACCGATATCAACGATCGGAGCCCAAGTTTTCCCAGTGATCAGGTTTATATTGGGTATGTAAAGGAAAACATGCCTCCAGGGACTAGTGTGATGTATGTGCAGGCTGTAGATGATGATGATCCTTTCTCTGGCGGGAACGCTAAGATCAAGTATGATCTCAAAAACAATGCCGGCAGTAAGTTCAACATTGATCCCGATACTGGTCTTATAAAGACAACAGTGACGTTTAGCCKAGATAACCAGCCCACATCGTACGTTGTGACAGTAAGAGCCACAGATCAAGGCAGCAAAAACCAACTAACGTCTACAAAGGATGCTACAATATACATCGAAGATGCTAATGACAAAAAGCCTGCGTTCACAAACACTATATTCAGAGGTACGGTGCCCGAGAATGCACCCCCAGGGTACAGGGTTACGGCTGTTAGTGCAACGGACAGTGACACCGGTCCTAACGCTGAGCTAGAATTTGTAGTAACTTATGGTAATGAACCTCTCGCGTTTTACCTTAATCCTTTCAATGGAACGGTATATGTCTCTGGGATTATTGACTATGAAGTTAAAAAATCCTATAATCTTACTGTTACTGTGGCAGACCGAGGAATGCCCCCTTTGAAAGCTGATAAACCGGCGTACGTGCTCATCACAGTCACCGACACTAATGACAATGCCCCAGTATTTGCTCCTAACCAGTATAACAAAACAATAAGTGAAGGTGTGCCAACAGGAACTGTGGTTCTTAAAGTGACCGCCACGGATAAGGATAGTGGGACCAACGCTAAAATGGACTTCACTATCACTAAAGGTAACAAAGATGACCTCTTCACGATCACACCTGATCCAAAGGATCCTAATGTTGGCCTTGTGGTTACTCGACTGCCGTTAGACCGCGAAAAGATTCCTATTCATCACCTGGAAATCACAGCTACTGACAGTGGTGGGCTTAAAGATACAGCAGACGTATGGCTGACTCTTGACGATGTCAACGATAATGGGCCGTGGTTCCAGCCACCTTTCTTTGTTGGCAAAGTCAAAGAGAATCTTGATGCAGCACAGTTTGTCACTCTGCTCAGCGCGTACGATCCTGATTCTCCAACCAACGGCGGTCCGTTTACGTATTCCTTAGTAAATGGCACACTTAACAACAACTTTAGACTTGTGGAGCCTGCGACATACAAAAACGCAACGTCCATCGTTAACTCCTATGGTATCTTTGATCGAGAAGTTACACCTACTTGGAAGGTTGGAGTAGTTGCAGAGGACAGTGGCAAGCCCAAAAAGACAAATTTTACCTATTTGTACGTAGATATAATGGACGATAACGACAACGAACCTTTTGATGGATCAATGCTGATCATATTGAATGCATACAAAGGAGAATTCATAGGAGGTCCAATTGGTAAACCCTATTACAAAGATGCTGATTATGACGGTGATGTGAATACTTACACCTTGAACAGCCAGTCCCCTGGTACCTACTTCAAAGTAGATCCAAACAGCGGCAATATCACTGCTGATCCAAAGATCCCTGTGGGTGAATACAACCTTGATATTAAGGTCACTGAGTCCTCAAGCGCCAGCAGTCCTCGCAGGAACGCTGTCAACTTTCCAAAGACTGTAACCTCGTCAGTGAAGGTCTTGGTTCGCAGAATCGACCCCGTTGCTGTCAACCATAGTGTCGCACTTCAGTTTACTGACATGAGAAAAGTTGGCTACTTTGTTGGCGATTATTATGACCCTGTAGTTTCTGTTATACGTGATACTTTAGAGGTTCCAAAAGACAAGATTGAAGTGTTTAGTGTTCAAAAGGCAACGGACAGGCTGCTTTCTGTGAATGCACAGTTTGCAGTCAAGGATGGAGATTCTTACATGAAGCCAAAGGATGTAATCGACAAGCTTACTGCTAGAAAATCTAGATTTGAGACACTAGGTGAGTCCAATTCGTAGTCTCTTCATTTATAATTGCCTTTTTGCTTTTTCTTCCTTCTTTACTTTCTTTTCCCCCATTGTTGTTGCCATTTGTTAGTTTATTTGTTTGTTTGTCTCTTGTTTCTTTCCCATCCTCCCTTCTCCAACCTTCCATTGCTTGTTTGTTTTCTTTCTTCCCTCCTTCCTTCCTTTCTTTCTCCCCTCCCTCCATTCCCTCTCTTTCTACTTGTTTTTGTTCGTTCCTTCCCGTCTATCCTTATTCGTTTCTTTCATTTTTCATTGCCACTGCATTGCATTTTAAATTTATTATTAAGTCATAAAGATGCTTCTCTCCACCTAGGTTTAAATGTAGGAGAAATTGGTATAGATAAGTGCGCAAGGGAAAAGGAAGATGTTGGAAAGTGCGTCAACGTCGTAGAAACCTCTTCTGCGTACCACGTAGCAAGTGGCGATTATGGAAAAGTGCCTCCGCCGGATTCAGTCACAAGCATCGTATCTATGGACGTGGTCCTTAAAGACAAATATGAATCAATCATTACACCGCAGGGTAATTGTTCCTACAGCAATCCTTGTCTTCACGGTGGGACGTGTCACGATTCTGTCCCGTATGGCTACATGATCTGCGAGTGCCCGCGTGAATACCATGGGCCACGGTGTGAACAGACAACAAGGAGTTTCTATGGCAATTCCTATATCTGGCTACCGAAATTATCAGCGTATGATATTGGTGAAATTAGCTTTGAATTTATGACGCAGAACAAAGATGGATTAATGCTCTACCAAGGACCATTAACAAAGGGTAAGTAAACTAACAACGTCACTGTGTGGCTCCAGGAAAATATAAACTTTATAGCCTTTAAAGATTCAGGTATCTTTAACAACAAACTTTCCGGATGGACGTTTGAACGCATCCTTCAAAATCGCAGAGCGCAAATTGGCTAACCATTAGTTACAATTAAGTCCGAAGTCTCCAGTTTCGAGATCTATGTTGATAAGGGTTAGCCTCGACATTGTTCAGAATATTCACGTGTTTCAATGAAGATCCGTGAAATTACAAAATATTTGTATTGTTGAAGTTGTTTCTTCTTTACTTTACCGTTGCTATTTGTGAATATTTAGACACTGATACGARGCTAATCTCAGTAAATGAGTCTGTATTCAAGGAACAAGGCGGTAATTGGGATGGATCTTATGAATATGAACGTCTAATGAAGAGCATTTGCCATAATGTCTTTAAATATTTGTCACAGAGGGAAACAACGGAATTAAAGATTTTATGGCTGTACTTCTGCGTGATGGTCGTGTCATGGTCATGATTTCCCTTGGCTCGAATGCTATTACAATCAACATGACCAAAGGACCCCGACTGGATGATAAAGAATGGCACACCGTTCAGATCAAACGGGATTTATTCGACAGAAAGGTGAATGGAAAATATTCTCGTATGACAGAACTTTGTCCTTGAGTTACAAGTATTTCAAATCTTGCTTTCTGGTTCAATTTTATCCCACTCTTGACACCATGTATTAAGTTCGTAGTCTCCAATGAAAAAAACATTTTGTTGACTACTAAAATGTATGTCTTAAGGTTTACAAGGTTTTTTTATTTCCACTTACAACAATATAAAATAATACATGGAATACATAAGGGTAAATTATAAGGTGGTAGAGTGCAGGAATACAACCCAAGATAATCAAGTGACGCAATATGTGCAGATTTCCTCTGGATTCACTTGATGACTTTTCTTAAACCAGTGCATTGATCTAACACAAAAGCGCTCAGTTGAAGCTGCATAGTAGCTTAAACTGATAACTATTTAGTTCGTGCCCTGCAGCCTTGTTTAAATGCTTTATGATTGACCATCGGGCCACCGAAGAGAATCCATTGACGCTAAAGCCTTGTGCTGGCAAAAATTGACTTCAGTTTTCTACGAATGTCGGAAAGATGTATAGTTTTTTGTCAACCAATATTTACTTTGATTTACCGTCACAACTACTTAGCCTGTACTCTCTATGTGAACGATAATGGTCTGTGTTTTGATTGCCATTACGCTAACGTTTTCATTTATCCTTTGTCCCCTTAGATGGTTCGGGTTATCATCGACAAGTGCGAGAAGGCCTCAATCGTTGAGGAAAACGGATTGGTGATTGAGAATCGAGATACCTGTGAAGTGACTCAACGAGTACTTGGAAGAAAAACGTAAGTATTTCAGCATTCCTAATGTGTCCTTGAAGTCTCATATGAAACTTGGTAGCTCAGTGGTTAGAGCATGGCACTGGAATCGCCAGGGCACGGGTTCAAATCTCGTTCAAGACTCAGAATTGTTTCTGAGTCTTTCAATTTGCAGCTGCAAAAGTTGCTTCATATACTGCGAGGATCGGCTCAATATGATTCAACATTCCTTGTCATAATAAGACATATAGATCTTGCCAAGATACTGTATGTCATATGTCCCGCATATCATTCAATCAATCAATCATGAACTTTATTTAAAGAGGGTGACGTATTAACCCAGTGAGCTATCTAACTTACGGCCCTCAAAATATGGAGGCATTTGGTCGCAAAAGGGCAAGGGATACTGCTGCCCCTTCACCAAGGACTACAAAGAAACAAGAGCTTCTTTCTTAGAGATTATATAGCACATTTAAATAGATCTAATGGCTTATACTTAATGAAATATCACCCCAGCTGACCTAGTTGAGTTTACGTAAAGTGCCGGATTTTCTTAGTTTGTATATGAAATTATTCTGTGGGTTTCATTCATATGACAATTGATTTCTTAGGTATTTGAATGGATTTGGTCCTCTTCAAATCGGAGGTGCATCCACAGACTTGTCGTTCCTTGGCATACCCACACAGGGATTCGATGGATGCATTAGGAACATCATCGATATATACACCATGTACGACTTAAAGTATCCTCTCAGGGTTGTTAATGCCCCAGAAGGTTGCCAGCCTGCACCCAAATGTGCTGATAAGTGTAATGGGCATGGCTATTGTGAACCAGGTCTCACGAAGAGTATCTGCGTTTGTGACATTGGATACAGTGGAAGTACTTGCGGTGATCGTAAGTACAGTAGACCATATTATTAAAATGCAATATAGGGCTTATTCACGTGTCATTCCTCCTAGTATTCACCATTTTCCATTGGTTCACTGGTCGAACACAAAGCGCTCAAGCCAGGCGCCAAGGTACTTTCAAAGGATTATTTAAATTTGAACCCTGCAACCTCGACTGAATGCTTTGTGTTTGACCAGTGAACCGATGTATGGGTATTGGTGAATCATTTCTATGTTTAGCGGTCGTTCATGAAAAGACAGAGAAATCTTATTCTTAAGAGATAGAGCAGGCAAACGAATATAGTTTAGTCAATATTAGTAAGCTTCTATGGCACGGTCATAGAATTCAGGCTGATAATTGTTTCTTATGTTATTTATCTTGAAAAATCCGTGGAATGCTTCATACAATGACTGCACGTCTAAATCATCATTACCATCACCATCACCGTTACCTTATCCATTGCCATTAGCATTACCACCACAACCACCACTACAATAATCACTTTCACCATTACCATCATCAACTTCTTTTTCACTTCACTACCATCACTTCCATTATCACTATCATTATAACAGTCACATAGCTATCATTGACATCACTTTCACTATCATTACTATCACATTAGACAACTTCAGCTGGGCGTATGTTTTGCCCATTTCAGACCACTTGTTATTCCCTTGAGTATCATGTCTTTGTTTGGATGGACATGAAAAAAAGGATCCTATGACAAGTGGTCTGAAATAGGAAACGCTCAAGCTAAAGAGGTCTATTACAACCATCACAATCAAACTGGATTCTAAAAGGCATTATAAAATAACTGTTCTAAATTTCGCGTTCCTATTGGTTGGGAGCACGTGCTTTATGAGAGCGCACAGTACGCTCGCTTACTTTCAGTTTCGTCATTCTTGTAATTTGTATTTTATAAAAGAAATTCAAAAACTCATGAATAATTAATGAGCATTTGAACCAATTGGATCGACCATACACGTCACGTGCATGGACCTTTATACCCCAAAGTCCTCTTCATTAGTATTCTTTATAAAAAGAATACTAATGGGGCTTTATATGAAGTCTCATCCTTATTGGTATTCTTTATATAAAGAATACTAATATGGACAACCTTATCAGAATAAAGGTGCATCCAAGTTTAGATGAAGACTTAGTGCCTCATCAATGTCAGTCTCACGTACGATCATCGACGACACATGAATTATCGTCGTCTAGCCCCTGTCTTGATCGGCATTTTGTCTTCAACTTGTGGGAGCCTTTTTTGCACTTACTGCGCATGGCAGTGACGTACAAAACTCACTGCGCTTGACATTGCTGTACCAACGACTATCAAAGTATAAAAGTTAATGTTCACAAGGTATATGGTCGCTCTATTTCAACCAAAGGTTTGTGAATTATACTTAAAGTTTTTGAAGCCGTTTAATATACTCGCAGATCGTGTTATCGGGTCTAAAACCCGATAAAACACTCCTGCTCGTTTATTAAACACTACTTAAAAACACTTGCTTGCTGTGCTGTGTGGAGTTATAAAGCACTTGGGGTATGGCAGATCACTCGAGAAGTGACGCGTCGTGCTTCTCTTAACACTTCTCTCGTGTTCTACCAACCCCCGCGTGCTTTATTATTGCGCACAGCACGCGCGCACGTTTTTTATTTCTTCAAAAGCGCATTGCATCTCTGTTCTTTGCTACAACAAAAGCTCAGGGTTTCAAGATATGATTCATTTTTAACAATTTCTTTTTTCTTTTTTTTTTTGTTTATATGTAACAGGAAGCCCAGCCAGTTTCTATCTACCAAACAGTTTCTCTCAGTTCCTACTGAATACTATGCGTGCCAAGCGTGACTTGATCCCTCCTCCAGAGTCCCTCACCAATGAGTTTTACACAAACATTGCATTGAAAGTAAGAGTAGATCCTGATGCTAAGGACTGCGTGCTCTTCCTTTCGTCAAACTCCCTTGGTACAGAGTTTAATCGAGTTGATGTAAGTACTTGAGTTCTACCGAAAATGTTTAAAAGTTTAAGCGTCACTAATAGTGTTAAAATAATTAAATGAATTAACTAAATAGGATTTAACAGAGTGTCTCTTTGTCCACTGGCTTTAGAAGACGATTTTCGCGAAAACCGAGGAAAACTGGTCATTAAAAGTTCTTGTTCGTTGAATACCTTCTCTCTAATTCTACCTAATTCTTAATTCAATCTGGCTAGCTTTCACGAAGTTATTTTACTACATGACACAAATCATGAAATTCAAATCTTTTAGTGTCAAATCTCTTAAAGGGCACTATATCCCTGAAACAAGGGGTTTACTGCGGTTTTCCATTTTCTGCGAACTCAGACATTACAATGGCTTTTTGTGAAATGGGTTTTTCTCTGCCGCCAGTCAAGAACATAAAAGGTACCGACTGATCATTTTTGATTGACGGCAGTGAAAAAGCAGATCTCAGCGTGCAGCTCGCAAATACCGAGTTTGCAGGAAATAGAAAACCGCAGTAAATGAAGTTATTTATCGAAAAAAATACGTTGCAGGAGTGACTCTGATTTTTTGGGAAGGAGGGGGGAGGAAGGGGGGGGGGGCAAAATTGGAATATTTGTATTCCACGTAGTTTCTTTGCCAGCCTTTATCATATTTCATTCTTTTTTCTTTTTATTTAATTGAAATAAGTATTGAAAATCCCTCATCTTTTTTCCTCAATGGCAGATCAAGAACCGTGTCATCCGTTACATTTTCCGTCTTGGAGATCGCATGAAAATCCTCACTATCCCTCAATTTAACATCACCGATGGAAAATACCATACCGTTGTAATCAAACGTGAAGGTAACTACGCGTCAATGCAAGTTGATTATCAAGGATTTGTAGCTGGAAACACCGGTGGTGTTCACAAACTCCTCAACATGGGCGGTGGCAGCTTCTTCACTGGAGGTCTCCCCAACATCACCGAAGTACGAGTTATTGAAGCTATAATCCTAAGCGGTGGCAATGCTATTCTACGTACAGCCGATGGAAGGGTGTTGGCTAGCGGAATCGGTAGTGGTAGCGGTGGCACCTCATTTGGATCGGGAATGGCGTCCAGTCTGATCACCGTTTTGTCTAATGGCCAACTTGCTGTAAACGATGTCATTGATTCGCAGGCTATTTTTGCAAGCGGGGCAGGCGTTCGTGGTGTTGCTATTGAGAGTTTTGAACAGGGAAAGACCTCTATAGAGGTGAGTGATTAGTCATGAGTAATTTCTCAGTATCGCGCTGCTAATGAATCTTCTCACCAGCCTTTGTAAAGTGTAAGCACTACCCTATTTGCTTAATCATCCATGTACATGGATGCTGCACGGATGCTATCGATATACGGCAATTTTGGTCTCTTGGGATTTTTACCAACTGGGCCCCGGTTGTACGAAGGGTGGAGAGCATTATCCCATAGATAAATCCTTATCCAGTAAATTTATCCAGTGGATAAGGATTTATCCATCGGATAGCGCTATCCACCCTTCGTACAACCGGGACATGAATGGAAAGTTTTAGTCAAATGACAATTGGCAATTGAACATGCATGGAAGGGAGATTTTATCCTCCACTGAAGGATGATAAGATCAATGATTTTTAGTTAGATGATTGATTCCAAGAAATTGGGAGTGAAAAGATATTTTACAGCTCTACAGGATTTAAGAAAAACACAATTTACTAGACTAAAGAAACGGCGTTCATACTAAATGATCTCTCCTAGATTTTTACTTGTGTGGATGGATAAGAATTGGGCAATTGAAATTCCAATGAGTTCAGTTTCCCATTGAAAACTGTTTTCATAGCTGTGTTACAGAGCGAAAGAAAAACCTAGATTTCTATTTTGAAGAAACTGCGTCCATTTTAAATTATATCTAGTTATTATTTGACTGTTTCGTATGGACTGTTTTGTACCTGTACTTATGAACTGTATTCTGCCTACCCAGGTTCTGAATGGACGAACAAATGGCAAGTTCGGCACCGCTATAGGTGCACAGGGCGTGTCAATAAAAAACAAATACATCAACTCCGGTTCTTATGAGGGCGGTGTTCCCATGTATGATATAAACGGTAAAGAGATCTCGACCTATGGCAGTGGTATCAAATGGGCTGTCCCAAGTGGTGGAATACAGACAGGAGCCGGAGCCGGCGCCGGAGGTTCATCGGGAGCAGCTCACGTCATCGGAGACTTTGAGGGTTGTACCGCAGCGAATCGCTTCAATGGTGTTGACCTCGAAAAAGACAAGTCTATTGATGTACGTCGCCAGAATGTTGTTGATGGATGCCCGTGTGAGCCTGGGTTCTGTCTCCATGGTGGCACGTGTGTGTTTGCTGATCCACAATACTGTATTTGTCCACCTGGGTGGGGTGGTGTACGCTGTGAGACGATTGTTACTAAGCCTAACCCAGGTAAGCTTTTTTTTCTTTCTATCTTTCTATCTATCCAAGAGAACATGAACTAAGAGAAGGAATCCTTCCTATATAGCCTTGTAACCATTATGTGCACAGTTTGATGCTATTTTTAGCTTGGAGATATTTTGAGCGAAGAACCTGATTGTTTGATTTTTTTAGGGTAGGCGGCTTCTAGTCTTGCAGTAAACAAAAGCCTGTGTTTTTGTCGCTTTTCGTGTCCTAAAACGAGGCATTAAAGGAAGCATGATTATCGCGCGGGCATGGTAACGAGTTAAAAATAGTATCTATGATTCTAAAAATAGCATCAAAGTGTGCACATGATGGGGCACGGGGATYCCTTCTCTTAGTTCATTTTCTCTTGATCTATATCATTGGTTGCGGTCAAGTTAGAATAATCTTTGAATTATCCATTACTGATATTGCAATTTTTTTCTTTGTGATTAAAAGGTCAAAGACCCGGCAGCAGATGGCAGAATCCTGCTGTCATTGCTATGGTCTTAGTGGTATTATTAGCTGTTATGATTATCATGCTAGCCGTCTTACTTAAACGCCGTCAACCTCCACCTGTCGTCCCTGTGGCTCTAGAGGATGGCCACGTGCATGACAACATTCGTCCATACCATGATGAAGGTGCAGGTGAAGAAGACAACTTTGGGTACGATATTACTCAGTTAATGAAGTACACCTATGTAGAAGGGGGCGGAGGTGCTGGCGGTTATGGTGCTGGTGGAGGTGGCGGTGGCGGTGGCGGTATGGGATACGGTGCTGGTGGTGGCATGGGATATGGAGCAGGAGGTGGAAGAGGCAACGGCTTTGGAGCAGGAGAAGAATCAATAACAATAGCCGAAGACAAGCCCTTACTGCAAGGCGCCTTCAATGGAAATGGTCAGCAGTTTGGCGTGACCACCATCACGAGAAAACGTGTCATCAACCCAGATAGTATGGACGTTGGGAATTTTATCGAACAGCGAGTGCACGATGCCAATGGAGAATACTTCATCGCGCATGACTCTCTGCACATGTATCGATACGAAGGTGATGATTCAGATGTGGATGACCTCAGTGAGATAGGTGACAGTGATAATGAAGAGGACGAGGATAATCAAAGCTATCAGTTCCTTAACGAATGGGGTCACAAATTTGAATCCCTGAATCGCATATACAACCTAGATTAATTTATTAGGTATAGGTATTCGTTCTCGTTCCATTTTTCATTTATGTTCAGATAGTCGTCTGAATATCGTTTTCGAAAAAAAATGCCTTTAACCATAGTCATTGAACTGTAAAACAAAAAGAGAAATGCATACCAAATCCAAAACGTTCAATGAGTTCACCCAGCTTTCGAGCCAGATTCGTATGACTATAAATCCCTTAGAACACAGCAAAATGTATTCTAGCATTCTGATTTGATTAACACTACACCAAAGCTTGCTTAGATGATTGGTTAATTCATCAATGAGCATGGCGTAGTTTTTCACAGTCGTACGAAATATTTTCCCAGTGCGCGCCACTAACACTAAATGCAAACGATATCCATTCTATCGACTATATTTATAGGTATAGATTTTCTAAGTAGACTTGAATTGCTCTCCCTTTAAGGTGGTATTCCGCTATAAAAAAGTAAAAACGTCTAAGCGCACTAACTGCAAATGCTGGAGCGTATTCCATTCACTCATTATTCCTTGTGATTACAAGTTCTTAATTTGCAATTATTTTTTCTTTTTTTGTCCGACGCTATTTTTGTGTTTCTAGTTTTGAAAAAAATATGCTAAAATCATAAATAGACAATATGTTATTTTTCTTCATTCGACTCAGTTGAGAAGATTATTTCGCGCTTACGCCAAAAAACAATTGTAGAAAAACGAAATCCAAGAAAAACCGCTTAAGATAAGTTATATTTCTTTCTAGGATTTCCATTCTCGTATTTATTTAGTATTTTTATAGTTTGAAAAAGATGAGATCTAAAGATTTCATTCATTTCGCACGAGCACCAATATTCGCATCCTTTTCAAGAAAACGTGTTATAGTATATGAGATTAAAGTTAACTTCCTATCTTTCAAAGATACGCAGCTTCTTTGGCCTCATGACCAAAGTAATATTTTCTGTAGGCTTTACATGAATCAAATAGTGTGACAATTTAGATAGACGCAATATGTCTAGGATAGATAAGATCACGTGACTGATATCAAGCACGTGGTGTTATCGCGTTAGAGCGGTGATTGTCTTCGAGAATGTTCCACAAAAACGACTCCAGGTGTTATTTATATTAAGATTACTAGATTAGAATCCAGGAGGTTTGTCGAAATAACACTTATTGTATCTCGGTTCTGTCAAGATAGAGGGCTGACTGTCTCGCACTTGTACTATCAGTGACTCCAATGAAGTTAAAAACAGTCCACGGCGAACGCTAGCTTGGACTAAATTGATGTAAAAATAGTCTTGTGGAGTATTTTGTATAGATTTTTTGTGATTGCTATATATTAAACAGAATAGTTTTAGTAAAAATCGATTGTGTTATTTTTGATTTTTGTGGGTTTTTGATTGTATTTGTATGCTATTTCATCTTTCACTTATATGATTCTCCAAGTCGGCCACAAGGCAACATTTTGAAGTGTTATTTGAGAGAGAGATTTCATCATTTATCCTCTACGCTGGAGGGTTAGTTTTTAGTGTCTCCGGTTTTCTCCTTCTATCAATAATGTCCTTATGATTTATTTACAAGATTCGCGTATACGTAACAAGCAAAGAAAGAAAAAGCAAACAAAGGAATCATTACATCGTGCAAGTGGCAGGCAGTATTCATAGAGACAAGTTCCAATAAAATGGGGCCCCAATTTTCAAATTGGATGTGCGATTTCAATAGACGATGATCGAATCACGCGTCACTCTTTAAAATCATTGCTAACCCCTCATTCCCCAAAAAACTATCCCCGCTTATCATACTATTAGACACAATTCGCAGATTAAGAATTCTTTAGCTTCAAATTTGGAAAATCAGTAATTCTTCTGGCTTCTGATCGGTTTACACTAAAGTAGAAGCTATTTATAAAACGGTGTACCGTACTGTACTCAATCCCAAACATACGACTAGTCATGGTTCCATATGAGGTGTATGCAGAACTAGAGCTTCTATTACTTTTCTACACCCATTTGTAATCAACATTTGCTTCCCTTGATATCAGACCGATAGACCTGATACATCCTAGACCTGATACATTCCAGTCACCGGTTGCTTAAACAGTACCTCGCCCAGTCAAACTTCCTAAAGGTATACCAAAAGGGTGTTGTAGTATTCGATCTTTCAAAAGATTTTCATACGCAATATGGTCCCATCTTATCAGTATATCTTGGGTATATCTTGCATTGGAATCTTAGCGAATGATTGGGCGTTGACCGCCAACGAGGTTGTATTTCATTACAGTGCGACCACTCTAATCAGGGTCACCCAAACAAATTTGAAAGCAAATTCACAAATCATGTTTTTGATGCTGAACATAACAGGATGGTGACGAATTCTGGAATGTTCACTCCTGATCATACACATGTATAACGAAAAACCCAAACTTTTATAGGGAAAATGTTCAAATTTGTACATACATATTCTATTATTTAAATACCCAATCGTGATTGGATAATTTGTCTGGGTGGTGGCGTTGGTTGGTACAGTCGCACTGTAAAGATACCAGTCTTTTAAGGGACAGCACTTTTCCTAGCTAGTAGACTGGTGTTCAAAACGCTTAGACGCATGCCGCGCACGAGGCTTCATCTTATTAAGACTAGAAGTCTGCTAGCGAGACTTTTGGCTCGTTTTTTGGGATTGGATTAATGATTATTAAATACCTCGTGGTTTTGTTATTCATTATCTGCTCGTTTGTTTCCTGGCCTTTTAGCGTGATCCCAAATCAGTTGTACTCTAGTATTCTTAGTCGGAATGCGTTCCTCCCATTTTTGAGTTATCGACCAACGTTGTCCGCCTTTGTCTGGTTCTGTTCCTCGCGTTAAAATCTTCCGATATTTCCTTACTGACAGCCTTTTAGCAGAGTCTTTCATTGTACATCAATCCGTTTTCATTTCAGACTCCAATCCCATTACATCAAGAAATATGAAGAGTTTGAAGGCAAGTGATTGTAAAAAGCATCAAGACAATCGTATTATGATGCATTTCTAAAGAACTTCCTTATTATTGTATTAAGAGAGAATTCTCTTCGTATTCAAGCAGTGAGCGCCAAAAACTATTTTCTTGAAGAAAGGCTGTTGTGCGAAGTTAAAATCTCGTTATTCAGAAAGTTTAACTTGTTTGGAAGTGGAGATGACCGATGAAATTGTTAACCCAAAGCAAAAATTTGAATCGAAACTGAGGTTTAGGCGTTCATTTGCTTATTTCCCATAATTTCTATAACAAAGCCTGACAAAGCTACATTCTAACACAAATACAACAAAATATCTTTGTACAATTGAAAATACCGCTTCAAACAGGCATTTTATCATAGTACATCAGTTTCAAACTGTTTAAAAAAGGTTTTGAGTGTTAACCCAAAACGAAAATTGGGATCAAAACTCATACGAAAGTCTAGTTTTTGGCGCTTCTTGCCATTATTGCTCATTATTGAAAAACGTTTACTCTTAATGCATACGACATATTTCGAAACAAGTCGGTGTTCATCATCAGAGAAGTAAAATTCTGATATCCTTATCGCTATATAAGCATAATGAGAGAATAGTTTTTTGAAATTTTATAGTTTGATATAGTGTTACACCAATAATCTTAGGAAGAATTATCAACTGCACATACATTATTTATAGTGCCACCGTAATGTATCCGTGAAAACACTTAAGTAGAAATTGCACAACTTAGTAAGTTCATTAGACCTCGCTAGCCTGAGACAGAAGACCTACATAACTTTGCACTAATTTGTACAATTTTTAACTTTTTCAAGGATAAATGGTATACACTCATCATCTGTAAAAATACTTATCTAATTGAGCTGATCTGCGTAGTATATCAAGCAACTTATGCAGCTGCTAATAATAAGACTGGATAAGACACGGGGTTTGAACCCGTGCCCTGACGATTCCGCTGCAAAAAAACATTACTGCTATAAAAGCCGAGTTTGGGCTGCCTGTGGCTTAACATTATTGATCAAGTAACCGACTAATTGTGTAAATACCTATAAATATATAGGTATGGTGGGTATTTAAATCATACATTCGCTACGAGAGATTTTTCAATGCTAGTCGGTATACTCCTGGATTGCTAAACGGCTAGAAAGCGAAATTAGTTAGTTTCTCTGATCTTGAAAATATTTACTTCAACCCCTTTTAACTGAGCCGTTTTTGTTAAGCCACAGATGGAATTCTTCAAACCAGATCAGTTGTTTTTCTTCTTCGTGTTTATCCTAAGGTCCTTAAGATAACAGCTGGTGCGGTGTTCCTTTTGGCTTTATTAGCGTTTGCGTGTCCGCCGCATTTGGCAGATTCCTATTGGGAAGTTAGTACAGTGGTCATAGAGAGTGGCAGAAAAATCACTTCATTTATAATTCATAACTAAGGATTTTTTAAATTAAGATTAAAATACAAAAAGTCGGAACCTTATACAACATTATTTCAAAGAGGTTTATCTTGTTAATACTGAATACTGAACATTGCACATGTGCACCTCGATCTGGCATAGTGAATTTTTAAAAAGAAGACAACCTCTTTTAAAGAAGCCAAAAACCACGGTATATATCTTTCAGTTTTATATACATTTTAATACATTTGATACCGTCAGTATTCTTCATGAGATACTTGCCCAAATAAGTGTTCGTAGCAATGATGGTGTAAATCTTCAAGCGATATATGCCTGTGAGGAGAGTAAATCATTCTTCCAATTCTTTCAGTTATTTTTAACAGGAAATCAAACGATTCTTTAACATAAACCCTTAGTATAAGGGGAAAAAAATTATTTTGAAAGTGCTTAAAAATGATCATTTCCTTTGGCTTTACCTAAGATTTTGAACTCAAAGCAATCTGTCATCCTGCTGCTAGACTTAATAAGAATTACTGGTTCATTGTTCTTAACACAACGTTGTGGATGACACAAAAAGGCTGCTTCAATACCTCATTTATTTTCGTTAATCCGGAAGATTGTAACGCAGATGAGAAACAATTCAATAATAAATAAGACATGTTTGCGATGAAGCTTCGTTTGATAAATTAATGCTTTTGTGATGCGTTTAATTATAAGCTTTTGCATTAAAGCTATATCAGTGTGATGGAGGAGTGTTTGTGTATGGCTTTGTTGGGTTGCTAAGCAGCTAAACAAAGAGATGTACTTAAACCATAATTATTGGAGACTAAACACGAATGTTTTTTTTAAATATTGAAAAAGTCAACTAGAAAATCACTGAGCAAACTGGAAGTGCTTCAACTACTTAATGTTTGGCAAAATGATTTAAAAAAAGGAAAGGAAAGAAAGGAAAAGAAGAAAAGGAAATAATTTTCAAGCGGAAAGATGATGGAGGGTGAACGCGGAGGCAATTAAGAAGGAAAGAAAGAAAGAAAGAAAGAATACGTAGAAATAAAAAAAGGGAAATAGCTTCGTCAAGTTCGTCGAGCAGCATGGCGAGACACCAGTCGCCATACATCCTTGAGTGACTTCTAAAAAGCATCTCAACCATGTCTTTCAGTGATGACACCCAACTGCCACTAACTGGTCACACCGTCTAGCACGAGTGAAAAACATTGCCAAGTTCTATGACATTTCTTTAACTCTTTAAGTACTATAATATATATTGAATCCGGCCAAAGTTGATAACACTCGACCATGTGCGTTAGAATTATTAATCCAGCTATACCGTCTGAGTTGTCCGACACTAATAAATGGAAAAAAACATCTTATTGAAATAGCCACTTCAAGAAACGCCAATTAAAATGAAAAATAACAAACTCCTAATCTTGTTTTCTTCTTTCCTGAGTATCCCATTTTTTAAAAAGAAAAATTATTCTGAGCAGAATTGTCCTATCTTTCCATGGCCATTATCGTTTCAAAAACGTTAAAAGATGTTATGTGGTTGGAAAAATAACACCTCCTTAGAAAGTAAAAAAATTTTCATCTCGATTGTCCATCCTTCTACACTAAAATTTACCAAGACAAAACAAAAGTCACAAATTATGTTTTCAAATCTCCAAATTTGGATTACAGCTGTAATAAACGCTAGGAAAATGACCCCTTTTAGTACTGGAGATGGATAGATTTGGTTAAGGCCATCTCTTGGCTAAGTAGTTAGGGATGTGAAGTGAATGAGGTGCAATAATTAGTCAAATAAATGCCACGTATACAGGTCAGTACTACTGTAAATGTCCTTATTTAATGTAGTGTTAGAGTTTAGATCAGACATGAGTTCTGTTTATTTTATTGCATTGTATTTGTGGTAAGCAATCTCTTTATGATATTTTGATAATGATATGACAGTTGTATAGAGATGTCTGTGCCCAAATAGAAGGCTTGTCGACAGGTGTTCGCCTAGTACAATAGTCTGCTCAAGTGTTTGTGCGATTATAATATGAGAGTTTAAGTCAGATATTTTCCATTCTACTTCAGATTTCAATTTAGAAGGCTAATATTGGCAAAATTCTTAATGAAGTTCAGTGTTATGTATGCACACTTCTTTCAATCATTGCCTGTACTCGCATCGCTGAATCAATGACCAATGAAATACCTTCCTCTGATATGATCATACTAGTTCATGTCTTCTATTTAGATTTTCAGCAAACAACCTTTTGTATAAAAATTATTATACTTGGTAATACAGCGATTAATCATAACTATTCGTTCTATATTTATAATATAAAGTCCTATCAGACCCCTTGCCTGAGCGGCCAGCGCCTCAAAGTCCTCAAACCCATATTAAACTTAAAACATTTATGATCTCGCAGCACGCGTTATAAGTTCCTCCCGCTATAACATTGATTTCTAATTCTCTTGTAGTTTGGTAGTTTCGACCAGCTTTCTAATCCCCAAAGGCTTTGGTTGATATGGTTCGCTTCGATGTGGTCACATCGTTTGCGGTGCTTAGTATTTTAGATAATAATGAGATCACTGTGTACTAACAATGCTTTGTGCTTGGGTCGACGCGTCTCCCAAAGCCCGCCAAAAAATAGTCCAATGAAATCACTGGAAATCTGACAAGCAACCAAAATTACGCGATAACCTTTCTCTGAACTTTTTAACTGCTATGAACCTCGTCGAAAGCATTAGCTACATTTAATTTTGATTTATATACATGGACACCAGTAAAAGTATGACTCAACGCGAGGCGAGAAAATCTCTGGTCATAATGAATATCCTTAAACATTCTATCTATTAATTTGAGTAATCAATTTTTGATTATCATTCCTTATCTTATCTGGAAAACCAAAAATCTCCAACTGGTCCATATTGCAAAGGAAATCTTGGTATCACTTTTATGTTTAGAGAGATTTTTATCTGCGAATAAGAAAGCGAAGAATGAGTAACGAGATCTCCTCATTTTCCAGGTGCTTCTTCCATAATAACGCCTTCTCAACTGCCGAACAAGTCGCGATTGGCTGAGCCGACGTTACGAAAGTTGCGCTTATTCTCTCCTGAATTAGCAGTTCAATAACAAAGTTCTGAATCTGTCAATTGCTCCAACACTACGATCCTTCGTGACACAGCTGCTGGCTGGGTAAGTAGTTATTCGGTTCGAATATTCTCCACTGCCACTGAGAGAGAGCAATTTCCTGATCCAAGATCTTGACAGATAGATTCTCACCGCTTCTATAGTAATTACATGCCATCTGACCAGTACTGGTTTTTACCAATTTAGTCACTCACTGGAATCTAAATTTATTCTTATTATCATAAATCGGTATTTATGCAGTGGTTCTTAGGAGCGGCTAGTCACTCTCACGACACTACAGGAACTGAAAACCTTGGTTTGGAGTCTAGCAGCGAAACACCGGGTGAGTCTCGAGTGAATAATGATTTGAAAAATGTAAAATTACAATATGTGTGAGTCGAGCGAACGACTGCCATAAACACTGGCTTCCATGGATATCAACCAGCCTCGTTTCCTCTGCTAAATTATATTAATTCAACAAAATGGAAAGAGCAAAGAATTCGCTCCAAACGACATTGAGAATACCACATATAATTTCTGCTCTTTTGCTTGTGATATTCTCTATTTTCGCGACCGCCATTGATTCAAGCGACACTGTGAATAATATTCAGGTTTCGGAAGGAATTCATCCGGCGACAGTACTATTGACTTTACCACACAAACAAGGATTCCGATATTTACTGCAAGATTCATCGAGGAATGGCGCAAGTTTATTCCATGTCAGCTCTGAAGGACTCTTAACGACCAAGGTAGCCTTAGATCGAGAGGATCCGAGAGGATATATTTTTGATCTTGTTATTGTTTGCCGGGAAAATAATCAAACTGGAGGGGGAAATGCAACAAATATTCGGATAACTGTTCTGGACGAAAATGACAATATTCCGAAATTCCCCAAAGATTTATACACCGCTTCAGTGTCGGAGAATAGTCCTTCTGGGAGCTACGTGCACGGCCTTGAAGGCGTATTTGCAGAGGATCTTGACTCGGGTTTAAATTCTGTACTTTCGTATAGTATTTTGACAGAGGGAAATGAGGCGGGTTTGTTTGCGGTAGAGATGAATGAGCAAGCAGGTGTGAAATTTCTGAGACTAAAAACTACAGCACAAATCGACCGAGAAAAGACAGCGTTTTTCGTACTCACTGTAAAGGTGAAGGACAACGGAAAGAATCCTCTTTCTAGCACAACTCAAGTCAGAATTAATATTCTAGATCAAAATGATTGTTACCCATTATTCGACCCTCCAATTTACTCTCTGAGTATAAATGAAAACACTGCGATTGGCACTTCCGTTCTCCAGGTCAAAGCAACAGACGACGATGAGGGTATCAATTCTGAAGTCTACTATTATTTTACCAAAGACCATGATTTCTTTGCAATCAATGCTCACACTGGTGTCGTCCAAGTTGTCAGTCAAGTAAACTTCGAGAAAGCGGGAAATTATTTAGAGCTGACTGTCGTGGCAGCTGACCGAGGTGGAATCGTGCAGCACAATTCTTCCACCTTGGTGAAAATTCGTCTAAAAGATGTGAAAAGTTATCCTCCCAGAAAAATCATACTGACCCCGAATAAACCCCCTGTATTTAATCCGCGGGGCTACTATGTAAAAATACGGGAAGATCTTCCACTTCAAGCCGTTGTAGCGCACGTTAGAACGCTGGACGTTGCTGAATACATCAGATCCCGTTTCAACTATGAGTTGTTTCCAAGGCATCTGCGGGATACCTTCCGCATTAACGCTAAAAGCGGTATTATAACATTGTTGAGATTTCTAGATTACGAGACGAAGAGTTCTTATACTTTAAAAATTAGAGCGACGAGTTTGCATAATCATAGCCTTCTAGGGGAAACTCAAGTTATAGTTCAGGTAGCTGATGTAGACGAGAATTTTCATCCCCCTGTCTTTCCATCCAGTTTGATGGTCAAAACAATGCCACCAAATGCGGACAAGAACACCATAATCGCGAAAATATCGGCTAGTGATAGCGATAGAGGGCAAAATGGGAAGCTCAAGTATTCCGTAGTAGGTGGAAGTGGAGCTGGGAGATTTTTTCTAGACGAAAATAATGGTGTATTGAAACCTTTCGCAAGTCAAAACAAGGAAAGTACTAGGTATGATTTGCATATAGAAGGTCGAGATAACGCGAAATTCCCTCGCACGGCCCGACTGTATGTGATGATCATTCCACACGAAGAAAACACGAAACGACCTCATTTTCTTACTCCTTCACAAACGGCTATGGTTCAAGAAAATACTGCAATTGGAGCATTCGTGGCTGTCATTAGAGCAGAGTTTAGAGGGAAATTACCGAATGCAGAAAGCAAGACGTTCAAGTACAAAATCACTGGAGGGAACTCGGGTGGAGAATTTGCTATTGGTGAAGAAACAGGTAAGATCCAATCTTTAGAATTTATTTATTTGCTTTTTAATCTTGCGTCGCCACACAGGGAGATATTCGTTCGCATAAAAACCGCATATAAATTATCCATGCGAACAAAACTCATCATAGCTTGAGTTAAGATCAAAAACTAAAATTTGTCACGAATTTTAGTGTGCTATTTACATAGTATGACGCGCTAATTTACTCTCAATTACTTAACCCATGAATTTAAAGCGATAAAACTGTCCTTATGTTTCCTTTCTTAGCCAATACTGTACGACTAATACCTATAATGAATCAAAAATATATATATATAACTTCACAAGGCTGGAAATTAAATGAAACTTTTGCTCGCTCAGCGTACATTTTATATCATAAATATTGGTGGCAGAAGTGGGGTTTTGCATTTGTCTAAAAAATCTCAAAACCAAATGAGCGTTCTGAAAACACTCACTTTATTTTAATATAAATAAATTTTATTCTAGGAGGTTCTAACTCGAAATATATGAAACTACCTTTGAGCTTTCTTTTAATTACGATGTTTACCAATTGGCCACGATTCTTTCGCCAATCCAAAGCAAATACGACAAATTTTCACTTTATTTTGAAACGCTGACAGAACTAAAGTAGATTAAAGAAAAAGCTTCATAAATAATCGAGCTTCAAGCAGCTGGTTCGAGATCGCAAATGTGATAATTCGATGGAGATTAGAAATGAAAGGCATAGTTGTCAAGCTTGAAAACAAAGAGTCTGCTCTCAGCATCAATTCTTCAACAATACTGCTTCCTATGCGACACATAGCGTTATACGAAAAGTAATTGGAATTATAGTATTTCAATCATTCTGAGACAAGCTATCCGAAAACACTAGAAAACAAGCTATGTGTATTTTGAAATAGAAATCCTTTTCTTCACGCAGATTACACTCTCTTTTTAATATCGTAGGAGTAGTTGCGGGGGTCTTCTAATGAGTACCAGTCCCGGAGGCAAGAACGCATGATACTTGATGAAATGCTCTTATACTTTTCTTACTAAATACTATCACACTCACCTCAAAGGATATCAAGCTTCCAAAGCCTTTAATTCATTCAATTCCTACTTTGATATTCCAAAAATCGTAACGAACGTCAGTTACGAATGTCTTTTTTCTCCAAAACTTGAAGGTTTCAAAAAAAATTTCATTTTCACAATTTTCCCCTTCTTAAATTAATGTCACCTTCGAGGTAAAATTCATAATTAATATAAAAAAAAGATAAGGAATTTTGAAGAAAATTTTATTTGCTGGATTATATTATCCTTTTCACACAATCTCAACGTCTTAGCGTGAAAAGCCACCACGACTGAACCATTTTTGAGCCATCAAACAGCTCTGTGTTACCATTAATTACAGCAGATTGTCATTATATTAATTTAACATTACGAAGGGCGTTTTGGGGTTTCTAGAAGAGGTGACAGCATTAATTTTCTCCTCCATTTGGCGTGAAAACTGAATTCACTTAAATTTTGTCAATCGTACTTAGAGTATTCATAGCTTGGATGACAGAAGGAGGTGCGAACTCTTTACCTCCTTCATGTAGACGAATGAGTAATTTCTTTAATAATGTATCATAATGTCTTGTGGTAAATATGCCGTTCGTTCTTTTGATTAGCTGTTCTACTCATTATTCACAAAACGTCCAAAGTAATTCCAAAACAAACGACTTAGAGAATATCTTCTTACTCTGCTAATTGAGTCTCTCTCTATCTCTCTCTCTCTCTCTCTCTCTCTCTCTCTCTCTCTCTCTCTCCATATATCATAGTTCTCTTGACTCATTAGAACGAATCCTTCGAGAACTTTACTATAATGAGTTCCGGGAAAAATTCCGAACAACAAGATTTTAATTAAAAATTGATTTCAGGAACTCATACAATTCCTGTTATAAAACTTTAACTGCTACAAGTACTAACATCGAGTTATTTTTCAATTACCCCATCGAAAGATGCCATAAAAATTTCCGTTCTTTTAAACCACGTGATAGATGTTACAGTACGCGGGGTACAGTTTACATGGGGAAACGACGACAACCTTCCTTATTGTCAATAGCTGCAAGGGCTCGGTCTCTTCTATGGTTATGAAGTGGATATAAATTTATGTATTGACGGGTTCAAGTGTATAGCTATAGATGAAGTGTTTTTGGTCGATAGCCGAGAGGCGTTATATCAGCACGCTTCGAAGGGGTAAAATCGTATTGGACGCCTCATCTAATATGCTTTCAAAAACGAAATTGATGATACGACGGCAAGAAATTTATTCAATGTTTCAAACAAAAATTAAAATATTTATTGGACATTGGAGGGGGGGGGGGGGCTTGTTTTTATTCGCATTCTTTATTGAACGGTTTTAGAAAACAAGACCTTTTCAAAGATTTAGAAATACATAGAAATATGAAAATAATTTCATGATCAAACCATTGTCAAATGTCACCAAATAAGCTTGGGAAAGTGTCCGTATTACCGAGGTTTATAGGCCAGTGTTATCTAAAGCAAAACTGAGAAGAATATAAGTAAATAAAGTCGAACTCTTATAGTACTTAAACCAAACGAACCAGGGAAAAGTGTCCACAGTATTTTGTTGAAAATCAAGTTGGACGCTGATCGATCAATGGCAAGCGTATCAAATATTGGGAATTTTTGAGTGCAGCGGGGTTTAGGAGAATAGTGATTTCCAATGGAAGGAGAATAACTGAGTTGAAAAGTAACCGTGAGGCGGGGTTCGATTATGTATACGAGAATTAAAGAGTACGCGATTTAACGCACGTCCATACTATACATCTGTTCGACTCGTCGTCTCGAACTAAAAGATTAATGACTATGTTTTGGATCTACCTGTTCTGTCATCACAATCACCTTTTTTTCCTATCAATCATGCCTTGAAAGTTCAATGCTAATAATTATTCATTAGCATATCTATATTAGATTTCAATTGCACATATGTCGGTGTTTTTTAATCAATATATAAAGAATTTTATACACGCTAAGATTGAACATGCAAATAACAAACGAGGTTGGAGCTTGAGTCTCTGAGAGAACTCAATATTGATGTTTTTAATCACAACCTTTTTTGTTAGTGATGAATTTTTTTAAATTTTTTTTTTTGAAGCTTTTTTGTGTGTATTTTCCAGCATTATGGCGTTAGCTTCCCACGGTCCTTACCGGCACCGGCCACTCCTTTTAAGTCTTTAATTTTCTTGATTTTTTGTTGTTTTTGTTTTCTTTTCTTGAAACCAAATTTATGAAGCACTACATATAATCACATATATAGATGATAATGATATTTTTGTTTTGCGGTCATTTAATATCTTCAAACTGAGGTTGACGATCATATTATTCTTCCTCAATAAGCCAGTTCATAGTATAAGAATCGTTTTCAGTGCGCATGCGATTTTATCTTGAATTTCTCACCTTTTTTTGTCTAAACCTTCTTTTGTTCATAATTAAACGAAAGAAGGAGAGAAATTTGGGATAAAATCGCATGCGTACTGAATACGATTCTTAAACTATAAACTGGATAATTAACYCCTTCAAAGCGCTAGGAAAGAAATGCTTTTTCTCTTTTAAATGTCGCAACTCCGTGCGCAAGGATTGAAGAGTATCTCGGCGAAGTAATGCATGAGTAGTCTGTAAGTACAGTGATGAACTCGTGCGCATTAACTTTGTTTTTGGCTAGGAGTCATCTACACCACTACGAAGCTGGACCGTGAACATCAGTCCCAGTACTACTTGGATATCCAAGCGAGTATTAAGGGAGCTCCTGACTCAATGAGCTCACCAGCCCAGCTTGTCGTTATGGTGATTGATGTCAATGACAACGACCCTAAGTTTATAAAGCAAAATTTCCAGGTATGGATCTGTAGATATTATTAACTATGTCTTGTGCCTCACTCGCTCTCATGTCAGTCCCATTACGGCCAGTTTCTAATTTTCTAAAGAAATACTAAAAAATCTAAACACTGAGCAACTCCGTAGTAGTTCGGCAGCCATTTTGAAATGTTACCAGGCCTTCACATGTAAAGGCCTGGTTACTATTCAAGATGGCTGCCAATGGCAGAGAGTATAACAGAGTTGAAAACAAGTAAGAAAATACTACTGAATATGGCCTAAGTTTAAGTCGTAAGCAAAATAATATTGGAAGGAATTATTTTTAGTCTCTAACTGATCTCCAGACCAAAGGATATTTATTTTTTTCAGGTCAGAATTAAAGAAAATCAAGGGCCAATAGACAACCTTCTCTGTCTGATCGCGACAGATGCCGATTCGGGGTCTAATGCAAATCTTACGTATTCAATCGTGCATGGCAACAGTCAAAACCTATTCTCTATTCATCCATCGCTGGGAATCCTGTCTCTTCGAAGTTCTCTGGATTTCGAGACTAAACGCAAGCATTTGTTGACAGCTCGGGTGTCGGATGGAGGGACTCCCAGTAGAAATTCCACCGTTAGAGTGACTGTCGATGTAGAAGATGCTAATGATCCGCCGGTTTTTCTTCAAACCACTTATGAAGGTAAGGAAGGATGACCACATGTACATGCATGTAACACAATAATTAAACCATTGTTAGTGTTAAGGAAAGTATTTGTCATCACATGGGAGGAAGGGGGGCAAGATAAATGGGGTACAAGGGTATACGATGGGGTGCTTTTGAATAAGTTTAGAAAGTTGAGCATGATTGAGTTTGCTTGTGTGTTGGGGCTGAATAATGGGATTGGGATCAGGGACAAACTTCCCTTACACCTTAATATATTTAAAATTTCATATCACTGTCATAGAAAAATATGCAGTTCCATTAGCACATGAAACTATAAAAGATCAAATTTATAGTTAAAACTCACAATTCCTATTTAATGTATGTCAAACATGATGTTCTTTGATGGTCACATTTAAAAAAATGTCAAAACGGGAGTTCAAACCATTAAATCCAACATTATCTTCAAATAATTTAAAGTGCTTTTTAAGCTGTTTTTCTAGTATTTGGACAAATTACACTTCTAGATAGATAATAATATTACCAGAAGTAATTATGTGATTATTAAAGATAGTCAGTGTGCACTTTGGATAGCACAAAGCTTTCTGAGAGCTAAAGGGAAGTACTGTTATTGTAAGCTGTTGTTGTAAGCTGTCTGGTGCTGAGCCATGGGCAATAAACTACTGCATGCTGCAAGTCGACACTTTTTCTGTGTTTACCATTATCAGTGTTTTCATATTTCAGACCATTTCACATTTCAGACTCTTGAGAATGAGAATCATAGTTTGTGTACACCGTATCAGCAAAAAAGAAATAATACTCAAGGGAATAAAACATCGTCTGATATGAAAAAAATGATTGGGTCTGTCGCCAAAAAGACTTGGCTTAAAATACAGCTTTGTGCTTGTTTACAGTGCACATTGGCTATGGTATTCACATTCTTTTTATCAAATTTTGGCTACATTGTAATCTGATAATCGACCTACCTATATATACTCATTCACCATTTGACATGGGATTCAATACCTACCAAATTAACCTAATGCATGTAATACCTCCATAATAGCTATGTTTTATAATATCCTAATAATATCCTGCATTTAAAATAACAATTATTATATTTCTGCATTATCAGCTGATTTATCCAAACTAACTTGTTTTCTATTGGTTGGTCTCATGTTTTGTTTAGTTGTTGTATCTGACAGCACCAAAATTGGAACGATCATAGCTGTCCTTGAAATAGTGGATGAGGATAGTGGGCACATTTATGAACGATTGAAGCCTGGTAACTTGCTATCTTCTTGTACTTACTGTCTGTCTGTCTGTCTTATTCTATTAATGGTGTTGGGAGCCATGGGGGCTGATAAACTAAAGAACTATAGTACATTTCCTAGGTACTTCACTCCTTTGTTTAGTATGTCAATGGAATTAATGTGCTGTGTCAAGCACATTAACTCTTTTGTCTGCAGGGGCTCAATTCTAATTCTACAAATGGTGTTGGGACTGAAAATGGGGACAAAAAAATTACACTAAAACTTTCTTTCTTTCCTCATGCCTTGCTATTCACTCACATTATTGATGAACAAGGTTTAGTTATGAAAACGTAGACAGTTAATGGAGAGTCACTCTCAATTCTAGCATGCTTGTTGCATGCTGCAGTGGCATACTGGAATGTTCCATGCATGCAGTGCTCTTCTGGCCTGTGGAGAAGAGAAGTATTCGCATGGAGGATAATTTAAAGAAGAATATTCCAGGCCATGTGCCTGGGTTAAAAAGGAACAAAATAAGATGAACTGCATTAGTATTGTTACAGTTATGCATTGGTAACTGTTGCTTTATGCATGGAAACTGTTAGAGGGATATAGATTTTCTCCTCAATCGAAATTCAGATCATCTTCTGATTTGAAGGAAGGAATCTTTTTTCACAATATTCTCACCCGATGCTTGCATTAATATCTGTGATATGGGTACGACATGGTATGAATAACCTGTCCAATCACAATAGAATCCTTCATATAGAGCATGTGAGTGCTGTGCATTATACATTTATACATGGGAGTACTGTTAGTCTTCATGGACTTCAGTGCCGTCTCGTAACGGATCATCAGCAAATGATTTCCGTGCTCTTTCTTTCTTTCTTCCTTTCTTTCTTCCTTCCTTCCTTCCTTGCTTCCTTGCTTCCTTGCTTCCTTCCTTCTTTCTTTCCTTCCTTGCTTGTTGCTTCCTTCCTTCCTGGCTTCCTTCTTCCTTACTTCTTTTCTTGCTTGTTTGCTNTGTTGTTCTCACGTCTCTCTTTTTTTCGTCTTTTTCTCTTTCTTTCGGCTATTTATAAATATTTTCTCTGACATATTCTTTCTTTCTTTCTTTCTTTCTTTCTTTCTTTCTTTCTTTCTTTCTTTCTTTCTTTCTTTCTTTCTTTCTTTCTTTCTTTCATCTTGCATGTGCATGGGCTTCGTATTTTTCTCTGCATGTGCTGTGAATGCTTTAAAAGTAAGTTGCCATAACCGACATTAATGTAACTGAGCCGCATAATTGTTAAGAATTTAGTGTGGGAGAACGACTTACGGATACCCTCGTCAGCTTTACGATGGATGAATAACTTGACTATCATGTAAAGAAAGTCTTACCACTCTTTTCATTGCTACGCACTCCATGACAGGGAAATCCTGCAATAGACTGCCGTCAATCAAATTGATGGTTCAGTACGTTCATAGAATCTAATTGATGGCAGTATTGACCGACAGTGCGTTGCAATGAAGACAATGGTAAATAAAAACTGAAACTAAAGCTGAGAAAAGAAATGGATTTGCAGTGTTTTAACAGGGTGGTCAACGGTAGGGAGGATGAGGGGGAGGGTAGGGTAGGTAAGGTGAAGAGGGAAGAGGTGTATAACTCAAAGAATAATATATTTGGTATTGTTTAAATATTCTTTTCTCAGGGTCGGTTGTTTTTGCGTATTTCTTAAGAAATATTTTGCATAAAAATCACTTAAAGGGTCGTAAACCACCTTTCCTTGCTAAACACACCTTAAACGATTGTTTTTGACCGACGCAATTAGAAAAATTTTATTTATTTTTTTGTCGTATTTCTTCTTAATTCAATCTCGACTTGAAGTCTTTTTTCCTAATCACAAAGTGGGAAGGAAAATACTATGGGCGGACGCATTGCGGTTTATATCATTGCCTTTCGTTTGCCAAAGGTGTGGGAACTACCAAAAATTATTGCTCTTGGTTTGTTTTATCAACCTATTGGATATCTTGTTAGTAAAATTACACAGGTGATTATTGAAAATCTCGCGCGCTGATTGGTCGAGAAACTCACACTATTCCCCGATAATCACTTCGCCTTCGGCGAATAATTGTTAAATATTGAATATGATTATAGATCGGTTGCGTCACAATGCAGCATCCTCTGCTTGGGCCGAAAAACGTATCAAGCCAAACATGTTCATTTACTTTCATCTCGTTCTTCACTCCTTTCCTCCAATCGTCTTCTCTTCCAATGAGTTGATGGAAGAGGCTGGGAGATGAATGAGCTTCTCTCTCTTCAATAGACTACCTCCGAGATATTAAAATTCTAGCACGATACCGAGGATTTCCGGGATAAGATTTTGAAAATTGCATTAAATATCAAAAGGATCAGTAGATATAGTGATGTAGATTCGATTATAACGTTGTCGAATGACGCATTTCTACCAACATTTTCTTATTATTGCAAAAAGGTATGAACGTCGTATATGGTACATTATTTTATTCCACGTGTTTGTACCATACATAAAGTACCATACAACTAAATCCCCGCAATAATCTAATCTGAAATTTTAAAATATCGAACCGTAACCGAACGATTTGGTATTCTAACAAAGCTCGCTTAGTTACAATGGCATAATTAAGATCTGTCACGGTTCTGATATTACTAAATGAGATTTGAACTAATGGCCGGAATTTCTACAACACAGAGTCTTTCGTTTTGATCAATTTTGATTATCTTACCATCTTAAACAATTATTCAAATTACAGGTACGGAAGTCTTGTGTTTCTAAGATGTCTTATGAGATAATTACCAAAAGTCATCCCGATTACATCTTACTTTTTCATTTTAGATTTAAGTTTTAAGCTGATTATTCTAATCTAAATGTACTATACGGAAAAACAGAAATCAAGATTTATCCTATTCTTCGATTGCACGTTACGTCAAGGCGGCCATGTTGGTGCCATTACAAACGATTTCTTATTAGCATCCATTGTTAACGGCGCCGGCCACAAATGCCGCCATGCTTTTGTCTTTTGACTCTCTTGGGAATGCTTGCAACCATCAATTGCTAGTTTTCAATATTTCCAAGGGATTGAAATAACAATAGCCACGGCAGCCATGTTGGTCGCGCAAAGGATTGTTGTAGTTGATCAGCCGGTCCTAGTTTCAGTTGTTTATCGGCGAACAAAGAGCTATCATTTCACGATAATTTCATTAAAGAATTGAAACCACAACGCACCATTTGACCCAGTGGTATTCGTTATAAGAATAGGTAGAATTTTAACTGTATTGCTAGTCCATAACGTAGCTAGGGAAGCAAAGATTCAGAATAATTTTTTTCTGACTTCGGTCGCCATGTTTTTTTCGATGGACCGCCTGATCAGATTTCTTCCTGCGCGATGATTGGCTGGTTTTTGATGGGCTGTCAAAACGAGATCACCTGGTTTGGTTATTCATTTCTTGAGCATTTTTGTGTTCTCCTCATACTCGTTTGATATAAAGAACGGATCACTATTCCCACTGAACGTGGATATTCCTCTTCGATTTATAGTCAGCGTAGAAGAAGATGCGCAACCCGGAAACACACTGACAGTCATTAACGTGACCGATGAAGACAGAGGTGCGGCAGGGCAGTTTAAATGCACGATAGACGACGTGGATGCTGATGAGATGGACACGTTTAACTTTCGTACCGTGCGCCAGGGATGTGCATTGACGTTATCAAGCTTCCTGGAATACTCGCAAAGATCACATTACTCGTTTAAGGTATCTGGTTCGCTATTTTGGTATAATTGTGCGTGTTACTGTAAACAGCGCACGGTAAGGACTTGATATTACCGTGGTTGTGACGGTACCGCGTTCGAGTATTTCAATTGACGAATAGTGATCTCGCACGTTGTGATTGGTGCAAAACATTTCGTCACGTGCCGTGCCGTGCCGTTTCACAGTCATACGAAATCTAACCATTTGTAGATGTATTAACAAAGGCAGCACTTTCTCGTCAGTTATTTCAAGTGTTGGTCAAGAGTGTGTTTGGATCTACGACCTCCCGCACAACAATGAGTACGATATTCAACCAACTGAACCAACCGGATGTCGAGTGTTGAGTGTCGAGTGTCGAGTGTCGAGTGTTGAGTGTCGAGTTTTGAGTGTCGGGTGTTGAGTGTTGAGTGTCGAGTGTCGGGTGTCGAGTGTCGAGTGTTGACTGTCGGGTGTCGAGTGTCGGGTGTTGAGTGTCGGGTGTCGAGTGTTGAGTGTCGGGTGTCGAGTGTTGAGTGTCGCGTGTTGAATGTCAGTTTTTGAGTGTCGAGTGTTGAGTGTCAAGTGTTGAGTGTCGGGTGTTGAGTGTCGGGTATCGAGTGTAGGTTGTCGAGTGTTGAGTGTCGTGTGTTGAATGTCAGTTTTTGAGTGTCGGGTGTTGAGTGTCAGGTGTTGAGTGTCGCGTGTTGAATGTCGAGTGTTGAGTGTCAAGTGTTGAGTGTCAAGTGTTGAATGTCGAGTGTTGAGTGTCAAGTGTTGAGTGTCGGGTGTTGAGTGTCGGGTATCGAGTGTAGGTTGTCGAGTGTTGAGTGTCAGGTGT